CTCCCTCAACATACACTCCATAGTCTAGGTTCACTCTTGAAGTTAAAAGGAGCCGGGGAAGCTAAGCTACCCTACTTGGGGTATGTTGAAGCTATAATCCTAATCCCTAGTGACTTCTTAGGTCAGGAAGTTGAGGTAACTATACCGATACTTGTAGTGCCCAATACTGACTACCACTTCAAGGTGCCTTTACTATTAGGGACAAATGTCATGACTGCTGCTGAAAGCCTGCATGGTGCACCAATAGCAGCCACTGCATCACCTTGGAGTCAGGCTCAGCAATGGCTCATTAGGCGTCGGGAAGACCTTAACCGGACTGAGTGTGTGCGGACAACCAAGCCAATTGTTATCCCTGCTTTATGTAATCAGATTATTGCAGGTATAAGCAGGGGTAAACCACCTCGGATTGGCATGCAGTTTTGTACTACAGCTGCCCCCACACTACCTGGTTCACTTAACCTTGTTAATGGGGTTGTGAATTTTATACCAGGACAGTCTACAAATAGGATTAAGGTTGAGGTTGCCAATCCATCTACCAAGGCTGTTACTATTCCAGCCAAGACAGTACTTTGTTGTTTAGAGCAAGTAGATGTCTTAGATGGTCTCTCCTCTACGGATGAGCCGGCTTTCACATCTGGCCCCGAGCCTAAAGACATTTTCAATTTAGAAACCCTGGGTCAGATACATACTCCAGAGGAAATAGCAAAGCTTCGCGATCTTCTTAGTGAGTTTGATGACATCTTCAGCAAGTCTGATATGGATATGGGCCACACAGACTTAGTCACTCACAGGATTGAACTAACTGATGAACGTCCTTTCAGGGAAAGACATAGGCGCATTCCACCTGCATTGTATCAAGAGGTTAAGGACCATCTGAAGAACATGTTGGATGCTAAGGTTATTCGTCCTTCTTCTAGTCCTTATGCCTCTCCCGTGGTTCTTGTTCGCAAAAGGGACTCGTCTTTACGTTTCTGTATAGACTATCGCCAACTTAATAGTCGTACAGTTAGAGACTCTTATGCTTTACCACGGATTGAGGAGACCCTTGATGCACTTCATGGTGCCAAGTACTTCACTTGTCTTGACCTGAAGTCGGGCTATTGGCAGGTCGAAGTTGCTGAGGAACATAAAGCCCGTACTGCTTTTACGGTTGGTCCATTAGGATTTTACGAGTGTAACTCGATGCCTTTTGGTCTCACAAATGCTCCCGCAACTTTTCAACGTCTTATGGAGAGATGTATGGGCGACATCCATCTCCTACAGTGTCTCATTTACCTTGATGACATCATTGTGTTTTCAAAGACCTTTGATGAGCATCTGGAGAGATTACGTGCAATCTTTCTTCGATTGCGCAAGAATGGCCTCAAACTTAAGCCTTCTAAGTGCCAGTTCTTGCAGACCTCTGTGAAATATCTGGGTCACGTAATCTCTGAGGAGGGTATCACGACAGACCCTGAGAAGATTGCGGCACTGGAGACCTGGCCAGTTCCACAGAATGTGGATGATGTTCGTCGTTTTCTTGGCTTCTCTGGATATTATCGTCGCTTTGTGCCTAATTATGCCAAAGTTGCAAAGCCCTTGACAAATTTACTTGTTGGTCAATCCGGCAAGAAAAGGAAAAATAGCAAACCCGACCAGAACTGGATATGGGGGGAGGAGCAGCAGTCGGCTTTCAGTGAGCTTGTTGGTAAACTTATCAGCGCTCCCATTTTGGCTTTCGCAGACTTCACTCAGCCATTCGAACTGCACATTGATGCAAGTGGCGATGGCTTAGGCGCGGTACTTTACCAAACCCAAAATAGCCAGAAACGAGTGATAGCCTATGCGAGCCGAGGGCTTTCCAAATCAGAGCGCAACTACCCAGCTCACAAATTAGAGTTTCTAGCTCTGAAATGGGCTGTCACCAGGAAGTTCCATGACTACCTGTATGGCAACCCATTCACCGTTAAGACCGACAACAACCCCCTCACTTACGTTTTAACATCAGCGAAATTGGATGCAACTGGACATCGTTGGCTCGCTGACCTTGCTGCTTACGACTTTTCTGTAGAGTATGTACCAGGGGCAAGGAACAAGGATGCTGATGCGTTGTCCAGGTTGCCACGTGAGGTCATGGATATCCAATCTGTGTCTGCGGTTTGCAACAGTCAGCAGACGTCTAGTGTTGTAGAGACGCTCTCACTTTGTCATGAGGTATTGAACTGTGTTTTAGCAGTTGATGATTTCGAGTCTACCAATGTTGGGACTGATCATCAGATGCTATCTTGTCAGCAGGCGGACCCCTCAATCTGCACGATTGTGGACCTTCTCCGTAAAGATCAGCGCCCTTCAAAGGAGTCTCTTAGGTCATTTGATCGTGACACAGCTTCAATCCTCAGGCAGTGGGATGCTCTCTCCATCAATAACAATCTCCTTTATAGGAGACAGAAGACTACAGAAGGTGATTATCCCTACTTTCAACTCATTGTCCCAGAGCCTCAACGAGAATCCGTCATTACTCATCTTCATGACGGGATGGGGCATCTGGGTAGGGACAGGACTGTGGCTCTCCTACGGACGAGGTTTTATTGGCCAGGAATGATGGGAGATGTCGAGAACCACATTCGTAGCTGCCAGAGGTGCATTCTTCGGAAAGCTCCTAATCAGACTGAGCGCGCACCATTGGTCAACATTCAGACCACTCAACCCATGGAAATGGTGTGTGTTGACTATCTCAGTCTGGAACCTTCATCTGGTGGTTACGAAAATGTTCTGGTCATTACTGACCACTTCACCAAGTATGCTGTTGCGATTCCAACTCGTAATCAAACAGCGCGAACAACAGCAAAGGCCTTGTTTGAGCACTTTATCGTACACTATGGCCTCCCTGAAAGGTTACATTCAGATCAGGGACGGAATTTCGAAAGTGATGTTATCAAACAAATGTGCAGCATACTTGGGATACAGAAAACAAGGACAACTCCCTATCACCCCATGGGGAACGGGTTATGTGAACGGTTTAACCGGACACTTCTTGGGATGCTCGGGACTCTGCAGGATCAGGAAAAGGCACGTTGGAAGGACCATATTGCTCATGTGGTCCATGCCTATAACTGTACCTTGCACGAGTCTTCTGGGTTCACGCCCTACTTTCTCATGTTCGGCAGACATCCTAGACTGCCTGTTGATGTTGCCTTTGGCACGTCTCTCGCCAACACTTCATCGCCATCTTATACGCAGTTTGCTGCTGATTTGAAGCGCAAGTTGACAACTGCGTATGAGCTCGCTACTCAAAACATGGACAAGGCCCGGGCCAAACAGAGGAAGACTTATAATCTGAAGGCTCGTGGTGCTACTGTTAAGGTAGGTGATGTTGTGTTGGTCCGCAATGTCAACATTCGTGGGAAACAGAAGCTTGCCGACCGATGGGAGAAAGATTTCTATGTGGTGGAATCACAGCCGAATTCTAATGTTCCTGTGTTTAAAGTCCGCAAGGAAGGCACTAGGGAGCATCGTGTACTTCACCGCAATTTACTCCTTCCCATTGGTTCGGATGGCCGTCCCATTCCTAAACCTCGGAGCCCTCCGCCTTCTCTAGGAGCTTCCGCTGTACCTGGTGATACCTCCAACACCGCTTTGGAGATTTCTACAACCGACCTGGATGTGGAAATTCCTTTATCTCCAGTGCCTGGGGGTTCTCCATTGGGTCAGCCGGTTGAAACTCCTTCGTTTCCAAGGTCACCACCAGCTCAATTATCTGGTGTTCCCTCTTCAACGACGCCATCTATGGTGTTGCCGTCACTCGAGTTGCCTGGAGGAATTTCGACTTCCCCAGTGCCTTCCAGCCCTTCCACTTCTGTTGTTCCAGAATTATCTTCTGTCACCCCACCAGTGGTTACAAGACCTGGCAGGTCACGCCAGAAACCAAAGTGGATGACTGACGGTCAATGGGTGGTGAAACAGAACATGGTTTGGGTATAGTTCTCTACTTAGTCCATTGTATATATGTTTGAGCACATGTTATTGCTTTCTCAGGTTTAATTTTCTGCAACCTTTTGTTATCCTGCTCCTTTCCTTGGCTGTTCGTCTGTTTTCAGCTGCGTATGGTGAGGGCACCATTCCCAAAAGGGGGGTGCGTGTAGCAGGGTACCTTATATTCTTCCTATAGTTATATCATTATTCATACATCATCATCATAATCATCTATATGTTCAATGTTTGTCTTGTCTACAGTTGAATATCAGTATCTAACTCTTTAAACAACTCAACACCCTTATTTTCAGTCTCTGGGAATCTCTCACCAGATCTTCCCCTTCAACCTTCTGTCTATCTTTAGACATTTTTTACACCTGTAGGGTTTCCCTCAGTCTATTTATATCTTGCATTAAGCACTTCCTTTGATGCTTAATGCAATCTGTCTTCTAATTGGCCACCCTGGTCCTCTACAGGTAGCTTCCTTCCATACCTGACTTCCTCCTCACTTCATGTGCTGCTGTTGAGGAGGAAGGACATTTTCTTTTCTTCAGGTATGGAATGGCCATATTTCAATCTGTTTTCATCTGCTTCTGTCAGAAATTAATATCTATATTAGGGTGCTGAATTAAATTGAATAATATATATATAATATCATTTAAAGTAATATTAAATTAGTAAATGGAATATTGATATTATAAAACTTGCTTGTAAAATAATTAACCACATGGTCCATTTTGGACCATGTGCTTTCCAAGTATCCTATAATGAACATATAACAGTAATTTAACATTAAAGTTAGTTTTAGTATAGTTTATCAATGGCTTTTGTACTTTTATATTTAAGATAAATAATACCTGTAAACTTGCAAATATATGACTTCATGTGCTGCTGTTGAGGAGGAAGGACATTCTTTTCTTCAGGTAGTTCTTCAACAGCAGCCACCCCCCTTGAAATAAATCCATTATCACCATCTGCCTGTGTCTGTGTTTCCCAACGGCCCGAGCCGGATAAATACCACTACCCCGGCTACATGTACATTCCGGATGTTTCTTCGATGCGCAAAATGCTTGGTAAACACCCAGTTTATATTCAGGGACAAATGGTTGTTGACAATAATTGGCGTAGGTTCAGCTGCGTGTTCCATGATCCATTTGTATTCTACCCAATTGTACACTGACAAAGCATTGCGGTGTTCTCATATTACGCTCCACTATGGTTGGAACAGTCGCATACAATATACGTGTAAGTACACGGGTCAATGGATGTCACGGTGACATTGTCAGTGTCATTTTAAAGCATCTGTAGTTAACCCTCTCTTGAGAAAAACATAATTAGATAGTATTAGGTTCGTACCTTAAAGTTCATAAAGTATGATTGTTGTAATCTGACTGTAAATACAAGCAAAAAGGTGTTACCCCTGCCGCCAAATGAAGGACACGCCATTGCACGAACCAACTTTACACACAGGACACTCGGGACAACGTCTCTGCATGGTGGATTGATCTTGTGGATACCCACCTAGCTTGGGAATGCTACCTCAACCAGGTAGCCAGGTAGGCGAACCATGTTCACTTTGTCCTTAATATGATATATATATATCCCCACCAACATGTGCATAATCACTTTCATGTATATACTGTTATATGTAGTGAGTGTTCAAATCGACTGTACGTTATAAACGTGGTCGAAGTTAGCACGCATGCCTCGAGGCGGAAATACCGATGATGATAAATATTTATTGATACCCGAAGATTTATTGAATAATCGCTAGGCTGTTCTCATGTTGGTGTGTGTGTGATTGTGTGATTATGTGTGTGTGTGATTGTGTGTGTGTGTGTGTGGGGGGGGGGGGGGGGGGGGGGGGGGTAGTGTGGGTGTGGGTGAGGCTGTGGGTTTGGGTGGGGGGGGGCGTTAGTGTGGGGGTTGGTGTGGGTGAGGCTGTGGGTTTGGATGTGGGTGTTATATAATTTATGCATATTATAGTAGAAACAAAAAGTAACAATAATAATATCATTTTGACAATATTTCAAGCATTTCCTGCCATTATCAAAATCTTTATCTTCATTGTTTACATTTGCACATGTCATTCGTTCCTTAAATATAATTTATTTATGACTTTTAAATGTGAAACTCGCCTTGGTATAATCCTATAACGTCTCCTCACACCCCTTCCTACCCGACCCGTGAAGATCAGGGTTAGGTCTTCAGCAACCCATGCTTGCCGTAAGGAGCGACCAACGGGATCGGGTGGTCAGGCTCGCCGACTTGGTTGATACATGTCATGGTATGCCAATTGCTTAGATCGATGCTCATGATGTCAATCACTGGTATGTCTGGTCGAGACTGGATTATGTACAGGCCGCCGTCATATAGTTGGAATATTGCTGAGTGTGGCGTTAAACAACAAACAAACAAACATACAAACATCTCCTTCTTGCAGATTTACCTCTACCATAACCCCAGGGCTAACCCATACCTAAGGTCAGGATTCGATTCCCCACATGGGTACAATGTATGAAGCTCATTTCTGGTGTCCCCCGCCGTCATAGTGCTGGAATATTGCGGCGTAAAACCATACTCACTCATGTGACTTGCTTCTCGCTACCCTCTACTCAATCACTCTATCTAAACCCTCTAGCATTGTCTCTCGTCATTTCTCTCCGCAATCTGTGAATCTCTCTTTTTCATTCATGTCAGTATTTCTCTCTCTCCGCCTCTCCTCACTCTATCAAACTCTGTACATCATCCGTTCTCAACACCGAAGGCCTGGGCTCCTTTGCCCCCATGGGCACAACTTTGGGAGCTCACCGCTGTGTTGGAATGTTACTGAAAGCTGTAAATCAATATGCACTCGCTTTATGTTTGAACATGTCTGAAAAAATGAGGGTACGGATACCCAGTCATACACCCATTAATCTCTGCACAATCTCTGACAAGTGTCATAGGCAAAGTCCAAACATTCAGCAGTATGGGTTACTAAAACGTCTCATTACATTGCATGCTATATATTGTATATTCTTTATTGTAGGGGGGCGGTCGGGTAGCCTAGTGATTAAAGCGTTCGCTCGTCACACCAAAGACCCGGGTTTGTTTCCCGACATGGGTACAATGTGTGAAGCCCATTTCTGGTGTCCCCCGCCGTCATATGGCTGGAATATTGCTAAAAGCGGCGTAAAACCATACTAACTCACTCACTCACTCACGCTCGGGTCTGGGAGACATCCTTCCCGCCGACGTATTGCTGGAATATTGCAGGATGCCGCGTTTCAATTTGGACATAGGGGTGGTCGGGTAGCCCAGTGGTTAAAGCGTTCGCTCGTCACGCCGAATACCCGGGTTCGATTCCTGACATAGGTACAATTTGTGAAGCCCATTTCTGGTGTCCCCCGCCGTGATATTGCTAGAATATTTCTAACCATACTCACTCACTTAATTGTATGAAAGGCCACATGCCCATATACAACGGAGTTAAATAACACCGCCACCATATAGCTGTAATATTGCGGCGTTAAACAACAAACCAACCAACTAAACATATTTTATAAGATACAAAGTCAAAGTACCAATTCACTTCATAACACAAATGCATGAGGTATGTACAAAACGAATTGATGTTGTATTAGAGGATCCTTGCAAGACAGTAATGAAGAAATACCTATGTCATTAAAATGAGATAAAAAACACTGCGGTATATACTTGTTTCTTAGATTTTCGTAAATTGGACAAATAAACATAAAATGGTATTCATCTTCGACAACAATGTCACAGAATGGGCATAACCTTAGGGATTTCTCAACAGATAAAAATCTTCTTGTGTTATTTTTTAGTTGTAAAACAATATCGCGTTTTGACTATGTCACAGTGACACAAGCGGGTGTCAGGCCGACGGTGACAAATCCTGTAGCACTAGGCACGACAAAAGCTGATAAACAGTCACGTTTGCCTCGCTACTGATATTCTAAGTCAACAACCATTGACGAGTGTGTTATTGTTAGTGTTGTCACAGCTCGATAACCCGTTACCTCCAAGGGATCGTACCTGTTGTACGCAAAACTGTTTCTTCGTGTTTATTGTGCTTGGCATGTGGCTATGCCATGAATGTTTTCTTGTCTTGTCTTGTCTTACGATCTGTTTCTTTGTTGCTTTTGACGATCATATCAAATCGCGCTTGGGTAAACACGCACGACTAAAGTGACACTGAGTGTTTGGTTTTCTATATTGCAGCCAGATGTCTTGGCAATATATGGCGCACAAAATATTCTAATAATTCATCTAAAAAACTTGACCTCTTCGGGTTATTCTAAACCGGTTCATTTTAACATAATCAAATGAAGCTAGTGCAAAAGGGTACTGCACATAATGGAAATACCCAGAATTTGTTGTTTGTCAAACGAGCAAAGCGTTATCGAATTACAAAAGTGTTCTCACGCCAGACAGTCCTTAATGTTGAGTATTGTTTTAGTTTGTTGTGTAACGCCGCACTCAGCAATATTCCTGTAATATGACGGCGGTCTGTAAATAATCGAGTCTGGATCAGAAATCCAGTGATTGACAACATGAGCATCGATCCACGCAATTGGGATCGATGACATGCATCAACCAAGTCAGCGAGCCTGACCCCCCGATCCCGTTAGTCGCCTTTTACGACAAGCATAGTCGCCTTTTACGTATACGGCAAGCATGGGTTGCTGAAGACCTATTCTACCCCGGAATCTTCACGGGTCTCTTGGCTACTGGGACAAGAGGGATACTTGGCTAAAGTTGAATGAAACTTTAGCATTTTGCGACGAGTGGAACATTTTTCGCAATTAGGTTACGATGACATTCATCAACCAAGTCAGCGAGCATGACCACCCGATCCCGTTAGTCTCTTCTGACGACAAGGCATGTTACCTGTTACGGCAAGTATGGGTTGCTGAAGACCTATTCCACCCCGCATCTTGACGAGTACAGTCCTTAATGTAACAAACGTCAGTTAGTGAAGATTTCGAAGACGCATATGTGCTGAAAACACATAATGAGGGCAAATTGGGGATTCGAACCCATGATTGTAGGTTTCTCCACACGGCAAATTACTCCCAGTCGCATCCCGGACTGGAGAACGGGTATAGTGCTCGGGTAAGAAGAAAGGTTATGTTGTGCGTCTAGGATGAATGGTAATTAAGAAGGGGTTTGGAGCACGGGTCTTGAGAACGGTATCTAGAAGTATGGCACTAGGGTATAGAAACGGTAATCGAGACTAGGTATGGCGCTCGAGTAAAGAAAACGGATATCGAGAATAGGTAAGGCACTCGCAATCGGGTCTTGGTAACGATATACAGGGAATACGTATTGCACTCGGGTATAGAAAACGGATTTCGTCAATAGGTATGGATTATTACACTCAAATAGCGACGAAGATGCGCGCGCGTGCGTGCGTGCGTGCGTGCGTGTGTGTGTGTGTGTGTGGCTGCTTGTACTAGTCCAGACTAATGCCGATTTTATAGCGCTAGCTCACTGAGATACCATGCCGCAGTTTAAGATGAATACCCCACTCAGACACAGTATACTGACTCCTAACCGTCCAGTCCTTGTTTTAGCCCCTTAATGTTGAGCGCCAGACAGGGTAACAACAAGTACCATCTTTTAACCTTTTTGGTATGACTCGGCCGGGCATCGAATCCCGGACCGTCCGCTCTCCGGGCGGACGCTCTACCACTACACCACGGAGGCGGTCCTTATGTAGACACAGTGTATACTGACTCTGAGCCGACCAGTCCTTCCTTTACTCCCTTAATGCCTAGCGCCAGGCAACTTAACAACAAGTACCAGCTGGAGAAAGAGCACGGAGCACGTGTGGAAAGCATGAAGCATGAAGAATAGATATTTGTGTCCTGTATGTGTCTGGAATAAATCATAATAAAATGTGATTGCATTTATCGAGAGTAGAAAAAAGATGAAATATAAAGATTTATTGTTAGATTAGATTACAGAAGTTTTTTTTGTGCAGAACGTTTATCATTGCAATGTCTTCCTTCATTCAACTCAATGACATTACTCCGCATTTAGTAATATTCCAGAAAGCCACGTCGGTTGACACCAGAAATGGGGTTCTCACCTTATACCATGTGGTGTATCAAACCTGTGTCTTTAGTGTGACGACTGAACGCATTAACCGCCACGCAGTGTCACCGTTCATTCTCATCTCATAAATGATTATTTGCATCTTCCCGAGGCAAGGGAGTTAACTGACTGTAAAAGTCCAGTTTCCATCCTTGCCGAATTAGGCTGGGATGACAGGGATATAGTTTGGCTGGACTAACAAGCCTATGAACACTCCAATCAAAATCGTGTAACTAAATCGACATCCGGTTCGTAAACAACATGGATTTATTTCAACGTGCAGATTTCGGTCGACTGCAAGATTTACAACGGATGTGTACTGTCAAATGGATAGCGACAGATATTTTCCAAATCTTTTCATCTTTTAAATCAAGGTGCTCACGTGATTTGATGCACTTCGCGCGGTAAGACCCGTTTTATGACAATACAGATCTTGATCTTCGATCAGATCGTCTTGACCGGGCGCCGCCATTTTGTTTGAAGCAAATGCATGTAATATGATAGGTGGAATATGATTGGTCAATAGGAGAGGCATAGCAGGGACATAACTCGTAATCGCCACTAGTGGCGCTATGATAGAGCCCAGAAATTCAAACCTAGCTCGGCAAGGATGGAAACTGAACTTTTACAGTCAGTTAACTCCCTTGCCTCGGAATGATGGATTATTTGATGCTGCGCAGAATTTTGATATTCAGCATTTCCACTACTTTCTAAAACAGACGTTTCCATTGGCATCACATGTGACAAAGTTCATGGAAATATACGTGTAGCAGCCTCGACTTACAAGAACAGGAATTGTTGTCTTTGGGTCCATCAAGTTGAGGATAATACGTGAGTGTATGCTGCTGCTTTGAATAAGTCGTTCAAATTTTAATTAGACTATATATTCGTATGTGATCGCCATTTGGTAGTCAGTACTTCATCAGACTTTAACATGTTACCACGTTTAGCAAAGCCCTATTCAATGTAATACATTGATAGCTAATAAATGTCCAAAGGTTAGATAGGACCAATTGTGTCATTGTTTACATGTGTGAAGGGACAACAAATAATCAAACTGTGCATTTCTCTTTCCAGTTTGTTGAAAATGGTGCTCAAACAACATGAAGTACTTCTTAGACTGGTCCTGACTCTGTCTATCATTGGTACGTTTAATGATCATGTTACATTCGGAGAAAAATGTTGCAGGTTTTATATATCATTTAAGTTAATAATTGTGTATGATGTTGCATTCGACACATGGAATATCCTATTTATTGTATACATTTTTGTGTAGTAGTTTACGGTAAATTAAATTATTTCATTACAAATGTAAAACCTTGAAACCAAAATTCACCCTTTCTTACACGCAGGGACGTTTTAACAGCCCTTGTATTTGCAACTTCAAAAGTAGATCCGTGTTTGCAAAATCATTAAAAATATAAACATATATGTATAAACCGCTTTTGGAAGAGAAAGAATACACGCGGGTCAAGAAACTAAAATGGCGCTTTGCGTAGCGTACAGTTTCGTTTGACGACTTAAATGAGAAATTTACAGTTTATATCGAAACATAAGAGAATAAGAAACGGGAAGAAGCGATATTAACTCCATAAATGACAATCTGTCATTATTTTGCCTTGTCTATGTGAAACTAACGTAAAAAGAAAGGCCAACAGTTTGTGTACGGGCGAGGCAAGGAGATAATTTGCGGGGAGTAACTCTTGTAAGGAAATAGTTCCGTCTAAGTGTTAAGTTCACTGCAGTGAAATTTCAAGTGTCATGTTCACTGCTATGAGAATTTTATTTTCTCAACTTCAGAAAGCAGAATCTTTCACACTGAATTATAAAATATAATTTCTGTCATCGAGCGACGGGGAAAGGGGATATTTTCAATAGTGGCGTAGCCATCACATTTCTCCCATGATATTTCACTCGACACATGGAATATCCTTTATTTATTTACTTTCATAATCATACAAATAAACAAATTGCAAGTTATTCCAGGTCATTTAATTGGCTAACCTAACAACAGTGTCTGCGTTTCCATTAACCTATTCGACACCCACTAGCGGGATACTGAACCTATTCCACACCCACTAGCGGACTACTGAACCTATTCCACACCCACTAGCGGACTACTGAATCTATTCCACGCCCACTAGCGGACTACTGTTTCCTGATTGGCTAATAATGGAGTGGGAGGGGCTTGTGTTCCATTATTTCGTTTACGTTGTAAGATGTCATTGATTTCTTATTTTTGTATAGATGTTTTGTGTTAATGAGCAATATGTGAAGTTATTACCTTTGACTCAAATATCAGTGTACATTCAGTGTTAATATCGGTTGTAACTTTAATGCCTCCATAAACGCGTATATTATTGAAGTACCTCTTATGTAGACCCGCCTTGTAGTAGTTGGTGTTTCATTGCTGCTGTAGATGTATCCCCGGCACAAGCCCCGTGCCCAGGTGGAGCGGCGGCACCCACTACAACATACACCATAACTACTGCCATAAACTACACCGTCTTCATATGGGTGCGACCAGGTGATAGCCAGTATGTCGTCACCTGCAACCCTACGTGCAGTCCTATCGCTGGATACAGTGCAACCCTGGACGCCACACACTCGACACTCACTGTAGACAGTGTTGGGATGATAGATGCTGGGACGTGGGTGATGGAAGATGCAGATGGTGCATCAACTGCGTCGCATGACGTGTGTCAGCTGAGCATCTCAGGTGAGTACAGATAAATCAATTCGTGTCATGACAAATACATGTGTATCTCCCAATTGCGTGGATCGATGCTCATGATGTCAATCACTGGTTTGTCTGATCCAGGCTTGATTATTTACAGACCGCCGTCATATAGCTGGAATATTGCTGAGTACGGCGTTAATTAAGTTCGCTTAAATATGTACATGTGGCTACATATTTGTTACTTTGAGTCTGATATGCAATTTTCTCTTTGTATAGTTAGTTACATGGTTAGTTATCGTATTATAAATATTTGTGTCGAAATGTCATAACAATAAGGCATTGATGACCCGCATCGTGCAAGCATCAATTGACTGATTGATAAAGAATTAGAACAAGAACAACATTATTTTAAATGTGAATGACTGGCTTGTAGCAATATTCCAGCAATATCATGGCGGGGGACACCAGAAATGGGCTTCACACGTTGTGCACATGTGGGGACTCGAACCGGGTCATCGTCGTAGCGAGCCAACGCTTTAACAACTCGTCTACACCACCGCACCTGTTTCAAAATTACTAACAGGATGCATTTATGATGATACTGAGTGAGTGAGCAATATTCCAGCAATATGACGACGGGGGACACCAGAAATGGGCTTCACACATTGTACCCATGTCGGGAATCGAAGCCGGGTTTTGGCGTGACGAGCGAACGCTTTAACCACCAGGCGACCCGACCACCCCTATGATGATAATGTTCCATGTTGCATAACATCGGTCTGAGCATGATATACCATGATCTATATACATCTATGCTACAGGTCAATGTATATATCCCGTATATGATGTACTTCTCATGGGTTTCGTTGAATCCTTTCAGATATTGCTACGACATCAAGTGACACGCCCACATCATTCGGTACGTTATCAGAAGCATAGTTTAAAAAAAATCATTTGCCAAATATATTGTAAGTGCATCCTGAGTGTGTCCACAAACTAGGGCAATACTACTGTTTGGAACTGTAATATTTTACGTCGCTTCAGGCAATATAACACAAACATCAGGGAATGGACCGTGTTTGTTTGCTTGTTTGTCTTTTGACGCCGCATTCAGCAATATTCCAGCTATATGGCGGCGGTATGTAATAAATCAAGTCTGGATCAGTGAATCAAGGGACTGATATCATGAGCATCGATCTACGCAATTGGGATACGATGACATGCATCAACCAAGTCAGCGAGCCTGACCACCTTATCACGTTAGCCACCTCTTACGACAAGCATAGTCGCCTTTTACGGCAAGCATGGGTTGCTGAAGACCTATTGACAACAATGATTATGCTCTTACCATTCCACGGGTCAAATATGTACTGTTGAGGAAGATGTCAGACTGTCGTTTTGCTGATAACTTAACAACACGATTTTTAGAGGGTAACCGAAAAATGTATATTATACAGTGAAATAGCACGAAAGCATTGAATAGTTTTGAAATCAATTAACGACCTATTAGAGCGAATTCCATGTGAAACAAAATTGTGTCCACAAAATCAAATGACCTCTTGTAGTACGATCTGGAAAATGCTGTACAATTCTTCAGTTTTTCAATCTTAAACAGTGATGTAGTTTTAAAATGAGTGCTTATGTCACACAAAATTACTAAAAACATGGTATTCAAACCTTTGTATTGATGCTTAACATTTTCCAAAGAGATTAAGTTTGCAAGTCTGTATAGTCCTTGTCCAGCGTCATGCTCTATGTCCCTGTGGGGGCGGTCGGGTAGTCTAGTGGTTAAAGCGTTCGCTCGTCACGCAGAAGACCCGGGTTCGATTCCCGACATTGGTACAATGTGTGAGCCCATTTCTGGTGTCCCCCGCCGTGATATTGCTGGAATATTGCTAAAAGCGGCGTAAAACCATACTCACTCACTCACTATGTTCCTGTGTGGTTGAGATAGAGAAATAATGGTACTTATTACTGTCCTGTACTGTTTAGTGGACCAAAGCAATCATGGCTGTTATACTTTTTGTACAGCTTTCTAGTGACTATTTGTTTCATGAATAAAGAATTATGAGACCAAAAAAAAAAAAAAAAAAATTTCTGGTCCATCACATGATTGTCCGGTTTGTGTACAAGACGCGGTCGCATGGCAACACTACTGTGGGGCGTGAGGCCACAAACACTTCTTTTACGTGCAAATTGCGTGATAGACGGGAAATACCGATAGGGTAGGACATGTTTACTTTTTCTCGAGCACCTGGTCTCATCTCTGATTCTGAGTGATCCATTTATATATTTTCTACCGCTTTTTTGCCTTTTGCCTCCCAAGGAAAATGTGTCGGCGGATACCCGAAACTGGTTATTCTTTGGAGTTGACATTTTATATTTACAAAATTGGTATTCTAATATCAAATGATTACTATTATAGTTGTTAAATATTTCGTTAAAATTAAAGGTCACTATTTAATTTAAGAACATGTCATTGTATTCGCAAACTCTGAAGAATATTCCTTTATACTTAGACGGATCTTCACTATATCTTATACGGATCGGTTGTTAAAGTATGGAACATATTAAGTTCGGTAGAATCTGTTCAGAGTTTCCTTTGAGTAGAGATGATGTTATCTGCGAATTTTACCTGTCAAATTAACGTGTATATTTTTCTATTTCAGAAACCAGAACCCGGTCAGACAACACCACGCCACCAGTCTCCCCATCGACATTCGATGGCTCGTCCTTAGGTCTTTCTCTAGGACTTGGGCTGACACTGGCAGTTGTTTTTATTTGTATTTATATTGCAGTGTATTTCGTCCGGAAAAATTATTGGTGACACTGTCGTAGATTTTGTTTGTTTGTTAGTTGTTTCAATCCGCACTTGAATGACCCAACTGAATGAGACTGGTTTGAAGTGAGTCTCTGGTAACAATACATTCCATAACCCTACCTGCACGCAAGGTCTTATTATAAACATGCTGGTTAGAGAAATTTGAAATTTTATCAGAACATGATACAAACTTATCCAGTGATTGTTTGTTTGTTTGCTTGTTTGTTGTTTGACACCTCACTCAGCAGTGTTCCATCTATGTGACGGCGGTTTGTAAATAATCGAGTCAGGACCAGACAAGCCAGCGAATAACATCATGAACATCGATTCACGCAATTGGGATGCATCAAGCAAGTCAGCGAGCCTGACCACCCGATCCCGTTAGTCGCCCCTTAGAACAAGCATAGTCGCGTTTTACGCCAAGCATTGGCTGCTGAAGACCTATTCTACCCCGGATCTTCCCTGGTGTCATTATCGTCTTGTCAAATGGGGAGACAGATGAACATAGCAAGAATTTAGAAGAGTATTGTGATCCTTGTAACTCTTTGACTCTTTTGACGGTGTCAACAAATTGCATAATGCTGTAAACACTCGTGTACACAATCACCTATAAGGAAATAACAGGTTTTCTACAAGAAGCGTATTCTTCACATTAATATGTGCGATATAAGCTACCTAGGTTAAGCGTTCACGTGACTGAATTAGATGAAATGTGGGATAGGGACCTAGCTGACGTCAGTGGCCATTCGAATGAAACGTGGTGTACGTTATTTGCTGCTGACCATTGATATTCCTTCACGGTATTTGTAGGTAGACCCACTGGGAAACGGTACAAACAGACATCTTGACAGTTGGGCTGTCGGGAAAAATCTGAGTAAGGCAATGACTTTGCAACTATGTTTAACGATTTTGCGACGAAACAACACATACACGTTAATTGTGACACAAAACGAAGAATCAAGCCTTATGATGCAGAGGGAGACATTTGGACATTGGACCCGTGAAGATCCGGGGTAGAATAGGTCTTCAGCAACCCATGCTTGCCGTACACGGCGACTATGCTTGTCGTAAAAGGCGACTAACGGGATCGGGTGGTCAGGCTCGCTGACTAGGTTGATTGCGGTTGATTGCGTGGATCGATGTTCATGATGTCAATCACTGGATTGTCTGGTCCAGACTTGATTATTTACAGACCGCTGTCATATAGCTGGAATAATGCTGAGTGCGGCGTTAAACAACAAACAAACAAACAATACAATAATAAACAATGCCACATAACACTAACGCGGCGTTAACCCGTACGCACGTACAGTCACTCACAGTCACGTCGTGACGTAAATGATATATTGTTCAAAGCGCAGTTAAACCTAATTATCTCACTAACACATTCAGCCAACGCGTCTTAATCCAGTTCAAATACTGTTCACAGCGACAGTGGCTATATGCCGAAAAATTGCTGATGTGAAGAAAATCTTAACTCACTGAAAGCCGCGTTCTAACTTAAGTGACAATGACCGAATTATCAATTACCAAATGCTGGTTCTGCCAGAGAGCAAGGTAAGTTCGGGGTGAGGTCCATGCATTGTTTAATAAAAGTTGAAAACACAGACACGCCTCTCCAAACACGGACTTTGTGTGATGGCGGTTCTTGTCGGCAAAACCATATATACAAAACAAAAGTTTAAATAAATTTTATTGATCATAATATATAATAAATAATACAGCGCGACTGAATGATAATAATTGTTAAATGTGGATTGTACAAAAAAGATATTGAAAACATACACGGATTAACAAAACTAAGTTACGTTAAATAAGTGAAAAGCGCGAAATACGGTATAAAAATAATGTAGCCAGGTAATGATATATTTGTTGTATACGTTGTTATACAGATGTGCGGGTTTGCTACCGAACAAAATACCTGAACAGGCAAGGAAATGAAATAAATGAAATTGAGAATTGAATTTTTTTTTAAATAATGAAATTAAAACACAGATGCATGTGTCTTATTTTCAAAATCTCAAGTATAGTTAAACTATCGGCTCCCGTTGTATGAAGAAATGCATCCCCTGTTATTAAATAGTTACTGTATTACATTTCAGTACATTATAGATTCAAATGGAAGTTTATTTGTTATCTAATAAATACATTCGTCACTGTATCACCGAGGAGCTCACATCAATAATCTCTGACGTTTCAAAAACAGGTCACTGCAGTGGTGGTGTTTTAAAATGAGATCACAGAGGTGGTGTTTGAAAACAGGTCACACAGGCGGCCTTGTCAGAACATGTCAAACTGGTTGTGTTTTAAGAACATGTTGTGGAGGATGTATCGCAGGCCTTGCGGCTGTCGTCCCACACTAGAGTAGCGGGACAGGGTCGGTTGTCGATAATGAAGCCACCGTTACAGGATGCGTACACGTTACAGCCGTTGCAGGATTGGTAGTCACCGTTGGCAAGGCCGTTGCAGGAACTGACACAGGGGTCTCTGAGGCAGAAATATTTATATTTGCATTGCAATGAATCAGTTTAAATGGGTAGGACTTTTCATGTCTTGTACCCAAACCTTAATCTACCATGACCCTTTATTTTGTAATTCTTTACTTAGGGAGTTAAATACACACACTTGATTGGATTGCAAAGGAATTCAAATTGTTTGTTTTAAAAAAAATCTAGTGCGTAAATTTCATGTCAGTCAGCAATCTTACAGGTATATAACCGCCCATATAAATAATTTACTCTCAAAAGAGGTTAAAAGTAGAGATCCCCGCCATCGAGTTACAATAACACATTCAGGTGACACACTGTGGGGGTCCACATTAGTCTTTTTGTCATGACTAATATCTGGTGTTAAAGTGGGGCCACGGCTGGCCCAGTAGCCAAAGGCGCCGCAATTCGCTGTGCAGAGTAACGTCCCTTTGGAGTCCCAGAAACCCATGATAGTGGGTTCACCCTGATGTTTCTTGGTTATCCATGCTCATGAATTTCAGCGTCTAAATGCAGCATAAAGCTGACACACCTTGTTATAACTGTTATCCTGTTCAAAGCTGCGTTAAACCCAACTCACTCACTCACTCACTCACTCACTCACTCATTGTACTCACGGGGGGCAGGTGGTTGAAGTCATCTCGCAGCGTTTGAGTGTGTCATCCCACACTGTGCCAGCAACGCAGGGTCGGTTGTCGTACAGGTAACCGTTGGCACACGTCGCGTACACGTCGCAGCCGTTGCAGGATTGGTAGTCACCGTTGGGGCGGCCTGAACACGCTGCGATGCACGGGTTTGAGGCGACTGAAGGAGGGAAAGTGTCTAAATTATGTGTTTGCCTAAACGATGTCAATTTAGTGCGTGGGGTATACGACCGAATAGAGGTATGCATGTAGCTGAAATGATGGTCAAAGTGGCGTTTACCTAACTCACTCACTGACTCACTCTTGTGTATAGCGACATCAGCAGCGGCCTTGTTTGTTTGTTTGTTTGTTGCTTAACGCCGCACTCAGCAATATTCCAGCTATATGACAGTCTGTAAATAATCGAGTCTGGACCAGACAATCCAGTGATTCACATCATGAGCATCGATGCCCGCAACTGGGATACAATGACATACATCAACCAAGTCAGCAAGCCTGACCACCCGATCCCGTTAGTCGCCTCTTACGACAAACAAAGTCGCCTTTTACGGCAAGCATGAGTTGCTGAAGACCTATTCTACCCCTGGTCGACACGGATCTGCTACAGTGGTACCTACATCTCGACGTGTCAGCATAACATAGACAGAAACACGAGATTTAAAGTACCGACACACAAAGTGTCATAATTGGGACGAAAAAGTTTTCTAAACCCCGACAGGCGGATCCTGTTACAGCCAAGGGAGACAACTTCACAGTCACAGAGAGAGTGGCAGCGCCTAACACACCTGGGCAACTCGACCCCTTACTTCAGGCGCGCTCGTTAAGTTCACGAATACAATACATAGCCCAGGCATGGTCTTATGCCGCTTCTAGCAATACTAAGATACTAAGACACCATCTGGGGATCAAACCTGGACGTTTGCGTGACAAGCGAACGCTTTAACCATTAGACTACCACCGCCCCCAAAAATAAATCAAGTGAACATACCGGCAACTGCGTACATGCTGCAGAACACAGCGACGACAAGGACTTGTTTGGAAACCATTCTGAGGAGTATTTCTGGAACTAGAAAATGTGTAAACCATTAAAAGACACGTATAGCATAAATAACACCCCACTTTCATTTGGTCACCCGAGCACAGTACACACGTATCTATACACCAGGTACTCACAGATGTCGAATTGAAATGTTAAAAGAAATGGTCAGCGCTATTCTCCTGATTTAGAAATGGCGTAACCATTCATTTTAACTGATCTCTGTGTGGAACTCATTTGGTGCCCAACCTCTCCTGGTTGTAAGATGCGCCTTACTGGATAGATGCTCATGATGTCAATCACTGAATTATCTGGTCCACACTTAAAGGCTGCCGCCATACAGCTGGAAATAGCCGGAGTGTGGCGTTAATCAAACAAACAAGCACGCAAACTTTTTATAGAAGTGAAGAGATGAATAACTTACAGTTGTGGGTGATGGAGCTGTCGAGGTGGTCAATGATACACTGTTCAGTTCTGTGGCTGTATTTATACAGCCAGCATTACTTATCTCGGCTGCCAATCGGAGATCGTTATTTCCTACCTTAAGCCTCGGGAATGATGGTAACTACACGATACTGGCAGATAGCCTCCCCTGCCCCGAGACATAGATCGGCGTGTTACGTCAGGGCAATCAGAAATAGATGTTGTGGCTAACGGATACATTTCCTTGCAGGCGCCGTCATATCAGATGCAATCAGCGCGACATTTGCTTAGGCTGAAATAAGTTAACAGTTCAAGAATTTAGAGGTATATTTCATATGACGTCACTCGTATACTCTTTTAATTTAAAAAATTGGAAACAGCTTTTTTATTCGGTTTGTTTATCTTATTGCAATTTGTTTGATTGTGAAGGTGCTGTCAATATAATCTTGTTAAATATACTTGTTTGGTTCACTCATGTGGATAATTATTGAGAGCGACGCGGTAATACACGGTCTTACACGCAAAGGTTAAGTAAATGCGTGAATTAGGATTAACGGCGCTTTATAACGTGGTTGTGGTGCCGGTGCCAGTATCTGTATCAAGTATGACGATGTTGTGGTGTCAGTGCCAGTATCTATATCAAGTATGACGATGTTGTGGTGTCAGTGCCAGTATCTATATCAAGTATGACGATGTTGTGGTGTCAGTGCCAGTATCTATATCAAGTATGACGATGTTGTGGTGTCTGTGTCAGTATCTATATCAAGTATGACGATGTTGTGGTGTCTGTGTCAGTATCTGTATCAAGTATGGCGATGTTGTGGTGTCTGTGTCAGTATCTATATCAAGTATGACGATGTTGTGGTGTCTGTGTCAGTATCTATATCAAGTATGACGATGTTGTGGTGTCTGTGTCAGTATCTATATCAAGTGTGACGATGTTGTGGTGTCTGGGTCAGTATCTATATCAAGTGCGACGATGTTGTGGTGTCAGTGTCAATATCTATATCAAGTGCGACGATGTTGTGGTGTCAGTGCCAGTATCTATATCAAGTAAGACGATGTTGTGGTGTCAGTGTCAGTATCTATATCAAGTATGACGATGTTGTGGTGTCAGTGTCAGTATCTATATCAAGTACGACGATGTTGTGGTGTCAGTGTCAGTATCTATATCAAGTATGACGATGTTGTGGTGTCAGTGTCAGTATCTATATCAAGTACGACGATGTTGTGGTGTCAGTGTCAGTATCTATATCAAGTACGACGATGTTGTGGTGTCAGTGTCAGTATCTATATCAAGTATGACGATGTTGTGGTGTCTGGGTCAGTATCTATATCAAGTAGGACGATGTTGTGGTGTCTGTGTCAGTATCTGTATCAAGTACGACGATGTTGTGGTGTCAGTGTCAATATATATATCAGGTGCGACGATGTTGTGGTGTCAGTGTCAGTATCTATATCAAGTAGGACGATGTTGTGGTGTCTGGGTCAGTATCTATATCAAGTGCGACGATGTTGTGGTGTCAGTGTCAATATCTATATCAAGTGCGACGATGTTGTGGTGTCAGTGCCAGTATCTATATCAAGTATGACGATGTTGTGGTGTCAGTGTCAGTATCTATATCAAGTATGACGATGTTGTGGTGTCAGTGTCAGTATCTATATCAAGTACGACGATGTTGTGGTGTCAGTGTCAGTATCTATATCAAGTATGACGATGTTGTGGTGTCAGTGTCAGTATCTATATCAAGTACGACGATGTTGTGGTGCCAGTGTCAGTATCTATATCAAGTACGACGATGTTGTGGTGTCAGTGTCAGTATCTATATCAAGTATGACGATGTTGTGGTGTCTGGGTCAGTATCTATATCAAGTAGGACGATGTTGTGGTGTCTGTGTCAGTATCTGTATCAAGTACGACGATGTTGTGGTGTCAGTGTCAATATATATATCAGGTGCGACGATGTTGTGGTGTCAGTGTCAGTATCTATATCAAGTATGACGATGTTGTGGTGCCGGTGCCAGTATCTATATCAAGTATGGCGATGTTGTGGTGTCAGTGCCAGTATCTATATCAAGTATGACGATGTTCTGGTGCCAGTGCCAGTATCTATATCAAGTATGACGATGTTGTGGTGTCAGTGCCAGTATCTATATCAAGTATGGCGATGTTGTGGTGCCGGTGCCAATATCTTTATCAAGTGCGACGATGTTGTTGTGTCCGTGTCAGTATCTATATCAAGTATGACAATGTTGTGGTGCTGGTGCCAGTATCTAAACTAGCGTCCAGAAAAAAACTTGGCAACTTGAAAAATGAAATTATTGAAACACAGATACTTTCACCCAAACGCAACAAAGCCAAAACAAGTCGCCTAAACCCATCGAATAAAAACTCGTGCAATTACTGAAGTGTAGTGCACGTGTTGTTGTGGGAAAGTGATTTTGTAAGTAAAGTCATTATTCGCGGTTTTTTTAAATTGCACGTGAACAATCGCTAGAAAAAACTGCGAAGTTTATCTCTTAGAAATGCAGTATGAAGAAAAAACACCAAAGGAATGCCCAGGTTAACACAAGAACAACGTGAGAGGGCTATAGGAATGCTGCAAATGGGGGCAACACAATCGCATGTTGCAAGAACATTCAACTGCTCCCGTAATACCGTTGTCAACTTGGTCCAGCGATTGAGAGTAACAGGTCGCACATCAGACATGCCAAGAACAGGCACACCAAGGGTGACCACGACCCATGAAGATCTCTACCTACGCACATTGCAGCTGTGTAATGGTTTCCTACCTGTGAGGTCATCGGCAGTGAATGCGTTGGGTCGTGTGGTCAGCAGGCAGACAATAGGCAGAAGACTAAGGGCAGCAGGGATCAGAGACTATATACCTTACAGAGGGCAACTGTTGACGAATGAACATCGTCGTCGAAGACTGAGATGGGCGCGAAGTTAGGCGTTGGCAACGACGTGATTGGCAGCGTGTCCTCTTCACTGACGAGAGTAGGTTCTGCATGTTCCATTCTGATGGCAGACACCGTGTGTATCGTCGAAGAGGCGAACGTACTGCTCGTTGTTGTGTCGGAGAGGTCGTACCCTTCGGTGGTATGAGTGTCATGGTGTGGGGTGGCATTTGTGCTGATGAGAGGACGCCATTTGTCATCATTAACGGTAACTTGAATGCCGTACGCTACAGGGATGAGGTTTTACGCGTTGTTGTGCTTCCATTTCTTCGTTAACAACCACAGGGTATTGTGTTCCAGCATGACAATGCTAGGCCACATACTGCTTACATTGTGCAAAACTTTCTTAATGTCAACAATTTCCATGTGCTGCCCTGGCCAGCTCGTTCACCAGACCCTAATCCCATAGAGCACCTTTGGGATTTCATGGACAGGCAAATTCGACGACGACAACAACCTCCAACCACCAGGAATGAACTCATCCAGGCCCTCCACGAAGAATGGCGACGCATCCCACGTGATGTCATCAGGCGACTGACAAATTCAGTTCGTAGGAGAGTGTTTGCCTGCATTCAAGCCAATGGAGGTCACACACGCTACTAGGGTGACACAAACACCATCTATAGTCATTTTGTGCCGAGCTAGTCATTTGCACGTGTAATGAAAACTGTTTTGCATAACCGGCCCCACCTGAACATTACCAGCCATATTTAATTCACTTGTCATGTTATTGTTATGACTTTCTGCCTAAGGTTGTGGTAAATATTCATGTTTACAATACAGTATATTCTGATCGTTTATGTTTTGGTGTTGTTTCGCTATCGAACTTCAAATAGGCTGCCAAGTTTCTTTTGGACGGTAGTTTATAGTGTTGTGTCGCCTCGGATTTGTTTGTTGTGTATTCGTAGTGATTTGTTTGTTGTGTATTCGTAGTGATTTGTTTGTTGTGTATTCGTAGTGATTTGTTTGTTGTGTATTCGTAGTGATTTGGTTGCCAGAAATGTGCTTGTAACCAATGACTACGTTTTGAAAATTGCCGATTTCGACGTCAAAAGAAACTTGCGCCATGAAGATTACTACAGACCAACAAAAGCTGTAAGGGTAAGTGTAGTTATATGAGTCATTCTTTACTGATTTGCAAGGAGATGGGCATTTTTTTACACGAAGTTGTCAACCGGTCCCAGGTGACGGGTTGTTATCATACCTCCATGTCAGAATGTTTGTTTGTTGTTTAACGCCGCACTCAGCAATATTCCAGCTTTATGACGGCGGTCGTAAATAATCGAGTCTGGACCAGACAACCCAGTAATTGACATCATGAGCATCGATCCACGCAGTTGGGATAAGATGACATGCATCAACCAAGTTAGTGACATCTAACCACCCGATCCCGTTAGACGTCTGACCCGTGGAGATTCCGGGGTAGACTAGGTCTTACGCAACCCATGCTTGCCTTAAAAGGTGACTATGCTTGTCGTAATAAGCGACTAACGGGATCGGGTGGTCAGGCTCGCTGACTTGGTTGATGCATGTCATCGATCCCAATTGGGTGGATCGATGCTCATGATATCAATCACTGGATTGTCTGGTCCAGACTCGATTATTTACAGACCGCCGTCATATAGCTGGAATATTGCTGAGTGCGGCGTTAAACAACAAACAAACCAACGTTAGATGTCTGTTGCGACAAGCATAGTCGTCCTTTGGGGCAGGTCTAATTGCTGATTGTCATTCTGAGAATTTGAAAGTAAGGTTCTTAATGAAAGTTTTAGCACAAGATATACATTGTTATTTAAATATTCAATGCATTTGTTAATACATAATAAGCATTTTGCTTGTTTAGTCTTATTATAATGATTTAATTGAATGTTAGAATATCAGATATTTTTTAAACACCACCAGAACATGTATATAAATACAAAATTGATCTACAGTGATAAACATTGTTGAAGAAGGTGTTCATTTTGTTTGAATGAATTGCTATTGAAAAGGCTTTAGTCCAAATCAGGTGATGACTTGAAATGCGGTTTAACGTCGCGTTCAAGATTCTTGCAGTTATATATAGCGACGTGCGTGCGTGCGTGCGTGCGTGCGTGCGTGCGTGGGTGGGTGGGTGGGTGGGTGGGTGGGTGCGTGCGTGCGTGCGTGCAGTTATATATATAGCGACGTGCGTGCGTGCGTGCGTGCGTGCGTGCGTGGGTGGTTGCTTGTAGTTGCCAGAACGTATGCCTGTTTCATAGATATGCCGAAATACGATGCCGCAGTTTAACTGACTGATTATGAATCCGGAGCAGTGTTGAAAGCTAGCGGGAATTCGGTGTTTTCGGATAGATATCCCTTCAGCACCTGGTAACCGGATCAGACGCAAGCCAGTTCGTGAAAACCGCATCGAATCGCCCTCTATTTGCTCTTTCAGCCAACCTTCTAGAAACTGTCGTATCCCGACAGGTCTCGAACGATCAAGTCTGCAATATTTGTCAACAACAACCAGGGCCAATACGTCTCATTTATACACGCTGCCGATGTCTGCTGCTCAAGCCTAGCGACAACATCTATTGATATATTTTACCAGCGCTTCAATTAGTTTATGCCCCTTGGCAATCACTACAATTAATTAAAAGCTAAAACGAGATTTACATGTGAGGCGAAGTGTGAGCATAATTCCATCGATATATCAATAATACTTAGGGGTCACGTGAGAGAATGTCTTCAACGAAAAATGATTGATTCCCTTCTATTCTCAGTGATGGGCGGATGGGCACGTTACCCCTCATCTCCCCGAGGCAAGAGAGTTAACTGACTTTAAAAGTCCAGTTTCCACCCTTGCCGAACTAGGCTGGTATTACTGGGCTCGATCGTAGCGCCACCAGTGGCTATATAGAGAATACTACACTCATTCTCGTTAGATACCATTTTTAGGAAACGAGTGGACAAGTTTCGTCAAAATGCTATCTAACGAGAATGAGTGTGGTGTTTTATTTATTACCCACGTTAAATATATATTTAAGTGTAAATACATAACAACTTTCGTTGTTTTCAAAAGTCACATTAGCGCCGCGCTTTGAATATCGGACCTACAGTCGGCCACTCGCACTGCCGGTGTCCCGTCTGTGCAATCAACATGGTTCGGTTTCCTTGATCTATCAGCTGAATTTATATCATGTTCGTACCATTTTGGAAAAGGGAAATCAGAGTATTCGCCAAAGACATTCATGTTAACTGTACCACCCTATACTGAAGACATGAAAATCAACAAACTCAAGTCTGCGTGCATGTCAGTGACCACCGGAATAAGAAAAGACAACCGTGATCTAGGCCAACTCACAGTGTTTTACGCTAGAGATAGGGAATGTTATTGTTCACATTTGGGATGTTTGGGGCCACAAAATCAGAAGTCAGGCACACTTCCACGGAGTTTTCGAATGACTTGTATCAGAACTGTGAACTTTTAGTCATCTGGTCGTGCAGTCGTGTACGTTCATTCATGAACAACACCTCCCGTAACAGCGCCACAAAATACGCTTCGAAGGGGACACTGATGGCACAACCGGATCATCCCAAGTAAGTCTAAATATCTGTCCAGATAGTTTAAACAGACTTCATTTCACCACGCTTATCCTTTTACGTTAAATCAAATTGAAAGTTGCGAAAGTGGTCGGGTGCGCCACGCTCATGGGGACCCTCGCACTATGATCAGTAGTCGTACATTGTAAATGGATACAGCTCGACGGATTTATTATCTTACCACCTGTATCTTCAGCACGTGGGTAATAATACCAGTTTTGTCCCTTCTAAGCCTCTCCTATGGACCAATCAGATTCCACCTCTCGTATCACATGCGTTTGCTTCACACAAAATGGTGGCGCCCAGTCAGGACGATCTGATCGATAATCAAGATCCATATTGTGTCTTACATCGCGAAATGCATCAAATCACGTAAGGACCTTGATTAAATACATGGAAAGATTTGGAAAAAATCTGCTGACAACGAGTTTGCGGTGCACATGCTTTGCAAATCCTGCAATCGACCGAGATCTGCATGACAGTTTACGAACCGATTTCGATTTCGATGCGCGATTTTGATTGGACTATGCATAGACACGTTAGTCCAGCCAAATTGTAACTCCATAATACCAGCCTAGTTCGGCAAGGGTGGAAACTTGACTTTTATAGTCAGTTAACACTCTTGCCTCGGGGAGATGAGGGGTAACGTGCCCACCCGCCCATTACTGAGAATAGAAAGATTCAAACATTTTTCGTTGAAGACATTCACTCACGGGACCCCTAAGTATTATTGATATATCGATGGAATTATGCTCACACTTTGCCTAACATTTAAATCTCGTTTTAGCTTTTAATTATTTGTAGTTACTTGGTTGAGCCATGTCATCGTATCCCAATTGCGCAGTTCATGATGTAAATGACTGGATTGTCTGGTTCAGACATGATTATTTACAGACCGCCATCTTATAGCTGAAATATTGCTGAGTGCGGCGTTAAACAACAAACAAACAAACAAATTGGGTCAGACATTTTCGTAAGTACTGATCAGTCCAGACTTAGCCGGCGGTTATCGATATCAGATTAATTCATGAAATTTCCGTATTACTTACTTGTGGATCACACAATAACATTCAATTGAAAACTTGAAAAGTGTAAATGAAGCATGTCGAAACAATTAATTAGCTAATTCGCAAGTGACTGTCTGCGCAAGCGTTTTCTCTCACGGAGCCCTAAGTATAGATATTGAGAACGAACTTGTCGTAAGAGGCGACTGACTCAATCGGGTGGTCAGGCGCGCTGACTTTGTTGATACATGTCATCGACCCCAATTGCATTCATCATTTAGCTGGAATGTTGCTGAGTACATTAAACAACAATTAAACAAACAAACAATACAATAATATACACTGCCACATAACACTAACGCGGCGTTAACCCGTACGCACGTACAGTCACTCACAGTCACGTCGTGACGTAAATGATATATTGTTCAAAGTTCAGTTAAACCGAATTATCTCACTAACACATTCAGCCAACGCGTCTTCATCCAGTTGAAATACTGTTCAAAGCGACATTGGCTATAATCTTAACTCACTGAAAGCCGCGTTCTAACTTAAGTGACAATGACCGAATAATCAATTACCAAATGCTGGTTCTGCCAGAGAACATTAGTCAAGGTAAGTTCGGGGTGAGGTCCATCCACTGTTTAATAAAAGTTGAAAACACAGACAAGCCTCTCCAAACACGGACTTTGTGTGATGGCAGTTCTTGTCGGCAAAAATATATATACAAAACAAAAGTTTAAATGAATTTTATTGATCATAATATATAATAAATAATACAGCGCGACTGAATGATAATAATTGTTAAATATGGATGTACAAAAAAGATATTGAAAACATACACGGATTAACAAAACTAAGTAACGTTAAATAAGTGAAAAGCGCGAAATACGGTATAAAAATAATGTAGCCAGGTAATGATACATTTGTTGTTTGAAATAATAAATAGTTTCATTAAATGACTTCTATCAGATTTGTTTTGACAAATGGACAGATTTCGTCAAAATTTATAATGCCAGTTTACCGTCCTTGATTAACGTTATACGTTGTGATACTGATGTGCGGGTATGCTACCGAACAAAATACCTGAACAGGCAAGGAAATGAAATAAGTGAAATTGAGAATTAAAAGTTTTTTAAAATGATGAAATTAAAACACAGATGCATGTATCTTATTTTCAAAATCTCAAGTATAGTTAAACTATCGTTTCCCGTTATAGGAAGAAATGCATCCCCTGTTATTAAATACATTTCAGTACATTATATATTCGACTGGCAGTTTATTTGTTATCTAATAAATACATTCGTCACTGTATCACCGAGAAGCTAACATCAATAATCTGAGATGTTTCAACAACAGGTCACAGAGGTGGTGTTTCAACAACAGGTCACAGAGGTGGTGTTTCAAAAACAGGTCACAGAGGTGGTGTTTCAAAAACAGGTCACAGAGGTGGTGTTTCAAAAACAGGTCACAGAGGTGGTGTTTCAAAAACAGGTCACAGGGGTGGTGTGTCAAAACAGGTCACAGAGGTGGTGTTTCAAAACAGGTCACAGAGGTGGTGTTTGAAAAACAGGTCACACAGGCGGCCTTGTCAGAACATGTCAAACTGGTTGTGTTTTAAGAACATGTTGTGGAGGATGTATCGCAGGCCTTGCGGCTGTCGTCCCACACTAGAGTAGCGGGACAGGGTCGGTTGTCGATAATGAAGCCACCGTTACAGGATGCGTACACGTTACAGCCGCTGCAGGATTGGTAGTCACCGTTGGCAAGGCCGTTGCAGGAACTGACACAGGGGTCTCTGAGGCAGAAATATTCATATTTGCATTGCAATGAACCAGTTTAAATGGGTAGGACTTTTCATGTCTTGTACCCAAACCTTAATCTACCATGACCCTTTATTTTGTAATTCTTTACTTAGGGAGTTAAATACACACACTTGATTGGATTGCAAAGGAATTCAAATTGTTTGTTTTAAAAAATATCTAGTGCGTAAATTTCATGTGAGTCAGCAATCTTACAGGTATATAACCGCCCATATAAATAATTTACTCTCAAAAGAGGTTAAAAGTAGAGATCCCCGCCATCGAGTTACAATAACACATTCAGGTGACACACTGTGGGGGTCCACATTAGTCTTTTTGTCATGACTAATATCTGGTGTTAAAGTGGGGCCACGGCTGGCCCAGTAGCCAAAGGCGCCGCAATTCGCTGTGCAGAGTAACGTCCCTTTGGAGTCCCAGAAACCCATGATAGTGGGTTCACCCTGATGTTTCTTGGTTATCCATGCTCATGAATTTCAGCGTCTAAATGCAGCATATAGCTGACACACCTTGTTATAACTGTTATCCTGTTCAAAGCTGCGTTAAACCCAACTCACTCACTCACTCACTCATTGTACTCACGGGGGGCAGGTGGTTGAAGTCATCTCGCAGCGTTTGAGTGTGTCATCCCACACTGTGCCAGCAACGCAGGGTCGGTTGTCGTACAGGTAACCGTTGGCACACGTCGCGTACACGTCGCAGCCGTTGCAGGATTGGTAGTCACCGTTGGGGCGGCCTGAACACGCTGCGATGCACGGGTTTGAGGCGACTGAAGGAGGGAAAGTGTCTAAATAATGTGTTCGCCTAAACGATGTCAATTTAGTGCGTGGGGTATTAGACCGAATAGAGGTATGCATGTAGCTAAAATGATGGTCAAAGTGGTGTTTACCTAACTCACTCACTCACTCACTCTTGTGTATAGCGACTTCAGCAGGGGCCTTGTTTGTTGGTTTGTTGTTTAACGCAGCACTCAGCAATATTCCAGCTATATGACGGCGGCTGTCTGTAAATAGTCGAATCTGGACCAGACAATCCAGTGATTGACATATGAGCATCGATCCACGCAATTGGGATACGATGACATGCATCAACCAAGTCAGCGAGCCTGACCACCCGATCCCGTTAGTCGCCTCTTACGACAACCATAGTCGCCTTTTGCGGCAAGCATGGGCTGCTGAAGACCTATTCTATCCCGGATCTTCACGGGACAGGAGCAAGGTAACGGTGCCGTAGAAGTTACTGACATTATTATTATCATTATTAATCGTTTTTTTGTATATACTGGGGTACAGATTTTGTCCTAAGGATACCAGATACAATCGTTTGTGACGTCATGAATAATAGCCTCATTTTACTATTAACACGTGCGATGACGTCATAATTAACTTTTCTGTTTTTTAATTACCACAAAAACTACTTTTCTGCATAAATAAGCCACTGTGTTTCAAGAAATAGTCTATTCTCTTGCAGTGACCATTATGGCGTGTGAGTTCCCGTCATTAATATCGTGGTGATATATTCAAACATTTAAATGAGCATTGTAAAATCGTGATTTTTTTTTAGTTACAACACACCACAACAATACTGTTATTGCAGCAAAGCGACAGTATTTGGGATACGATGACATCAAGTCAGCAAGCCTGACCACCCGATCCCGTTAGTCGCCTCTTACGACAAGCATAGTCGCCTTTTACGGCAAGCATGGGTTGCTGAAGACCTATTCTACCCCGGATCTTCACGGGTCTGGTACAGTGGTACCTACATCTCGACGTGTCAGCATAACGTAGGAAGAAACACGAGGTTTAAAGTACCGACACACAAAGTGTCATTATCGGGACGAAAAAGTTTTCTAAAACCCGACAGGCGGATCCTGTTACAGCCAAGGGAGACAACTTCACAGTCACAGAGAGAGTGGCAGCGCCTAACACACCTGGGCAACTCGACCCCTTACTTCAGGCACGCTCGTTAATTACACGAATACAATACACAGTACAGGCATGGTTTCATGCCCCTCTTAGCAATACTAAGATACTAAGACACCATCTGGGGATCAAACCTGGACGTTTGCGTGACAAGCGAACGCTTTAACCATTAGACTACCACCGCCCAAAAAAATAAATAAAGTGAACATACCGGCAACTGCGTACATGCTGCAGAACACAGCGACGACAAGGACTTGTTTGGAAACCATTCTGAGGAGTATTTCTGGAACTAGAAAATGTGTAAACCATTTAAAGACACGTATAGCATAAATAACACCCTACTTTCATTTGGTCACCCGAGTATCATACACACGTATCTATGCACCAGGTACTCACAGATGTCGAATTGAATTGTTAAAAGAAATGGTCAGCGCTATTCTCCGGATTTAGAAATGTGGTAACCATTCATTTTAACTGATCTCTGTGTGGAACACATTTGGTGCCCAACCTCTCCTGGTTGTAAGATGCGCCTTACTGGATAGATGCTCATGATGTCAATCACTGAATTATCTGGTCCAAACTTGATTTATAAAGGCTGTCGCCATACAGCTGGAAATAGCCGGAGTGTGGCGTTAATCAAACAAACAAGCACGCAAACTTTTTTTAGAAGTGAAGAGATGAATAACTTACAGTTGTGGGTGATGGAGCTGTCGAGGTGGTCAATGATACACTGTTCAGTTCTGTGGCTGTATTTATACAGCCAGCATTACTTATCTCGGCTGCCAATCGGATCGTTATTTCCTACCTTAAGCCTCGGGAATGATGGTAACTACACGATACTGGTAGATGGCCTCCCCTGCCCCGAGACATAGATCGGCGTATTACGTCAGGGCAATCAGAAATAGATGTTGTGGCTAACGGATACATGTCCTTGCAGGCGCCATCATATCAGATGCAATTAGCGCGGCATTTGTTAGGCTGAAATAAGTTTACAGTTCAAGAATTTAGAGGTATATTTCATATGACGTCACTGGCGTACTCTTTTAATTTAAAAAAATGGAAACAGTTTTTTTATTCTGTTTGTTTATTTTATTGCAATTTGTTTGATTGTTGCTGTCAATATAATCTTGTTAAATATACTTGTGTGGTTCACTCATGTGGATAATTATTGAGAGCGACGCTGTAATACACGGTCTTACAACCAAAGGTTAAGTAAATGCGTGAATTAGGATTAACGCCGCCTTATAACGTGGTTGTGGTGTCAGTGCCAGTATCTATATCAAGTATGACGATGTTGTGGTGTCAGTGTCAGTATCTATATCAAGTATGAGGATGTTGTGGTGTCAGTGCCTGTATCTATATCAAGTGCGACGATGTTGTGGTGTCAGTGCCAGTATCTATATCAAGTACGACGATGTTGTAGTGTCAGTGTCAGTATCTATATCAAGTACGACGATGTTGTGGTGTCAGTGTCAGTATCTATATCAAGTACGACGATGTTGTGGTGTCAGTGCCAGTATCTATATCAAGTGCGACGATGTTGTGGTGCCGGCGCCAGTATCTATATCAAGTATGACGATGTTGTGGTGTCAGTGTCAGTATCTATATTAAGGACGACGATGTTGTTGTGTCAGTGCCTGTATCTATATCAAGTATGACGATGTTGTGGTGTCAGTGCCAGTATTTATATCAAGTATGATGATGTTGTGGTGCCGGTGACAGTATCTATATCAAGTATGAGGATGTTGTGGTGTCAGTGCCAGTATCTATATCAAGTATGGCGATGTTGTGGTGTCAGTGTCAGTATCTATATCAAGTATGACGATGTTGTGTGTTGCCGTCTTCGCCATGCTTGTGGTTTTGACACAGAGGTCCAACGTTCTGGGTGGGTTTGACAAGGCGGAGCTTCCTGGGAGAAGTCCCATTTGATGTCTGGGCTGCGTGTAGAGGGGGCAAGGGCCCTGAGCTGATGATGAGCCTAACTAGCCTGACTGTGCCAGGATCATCCAAACCCTCTTTGCTGCATTTTTTTATTTTAATCTGTCTCCTCCTCGCTATTTATCTATAACAACTCTGGGCCTTACCGTCCTCTTATATAAAAACATTCAGGGTCTTACCGTTCTCTTATACACGTCCAGATACTGACAACTATCAGCTGAGGACGACATTGCTAGAATAAAATACAAACTCAAATTAATAGTGCCTCGTGTGTTACGAAAAAATGCTAGATGTTCTGATAACGTATTTTTAAAAACGTATAATTGTGCCGCACTTCCTTTTAAGGAGAAAAGTAGTCTCAAACAAAGATCCAATCCAATGTTACTGACCACCCGATCCATTTCGTCATCTCTTGCCACAAGCAGGGAGTCGTATTCTTCCACGGGTATCCACGAGGTCTGAATTACATCAGGGCCCCCTTGCACAAAGCGATCTTAGCGCAAAGATGATCGTAACTCCCATTCTTTAACATAGGCTTATCAGAAACCGCGACCACAATGGTAACACTTCATGTGTTGATAACATGAATAAGGTAACAGATAGCACACAGCCCCTGGGTGGGGAAGCTCAGATCAGACCCACCCTCGGGGTGCTTGACCCGGGGCAGTTACATTGCGCCGGACACCACGCAATACCACGGTGTAAACCATTATATCACCGTGCCCTATCGGCGCAGGGAAAGATTATATCAGGGGACATGGCTCTAGCATCACCTTTCTTATATCATTTCCACGCGTTTGTACTGGGAAAATCAACTTTTATTATATAACGATGAAGAAACAAAAATAAAAGATTAAACTGTTGGGACAACCTTTTGATATCGAGCAAAAATATAGTGAGGGTAAAAAATAAACAAGGTTATATCAGTTGAAATACATTGAACTTTAGTTAATTCAAACTTTTAGAAATGATGTATGGCTCATAAAATGTTATAATATTGAATCGACACATTACCAGTAGACCAAATAGGATCCTTATCTGACCTCGTCCTTATAAATACATTGAGGTGGTGAGGTGAGGTGAAATGGGGTTTAACGTCGCGTCCAAGATTATTGCACTAATATAGCGACGTGCATGCACGTGTGTGTGCTTGCTTGCACTAGCCCGGGAAATGACGATTTAAAAATATCTTATCAACTTATGTATCATGAAATTTCAACTTGGTATCTTGAAATTTTAACTTAGTATCTTGAAATATCAACTTAGTATCTTGAAATTTGAACTCAATACCTTGATATTCAACAAACAAACAAAAAAAAAACAAAAAAAAACAAATGGCTCTAATGGGCTTCCGTATGCTGCTGATCATGACAACACTCAAATCTCACCAAAAATAAATCTCAGCTTTAAAACTCCATTACGTGTTCCATTTATCGCATTGCTAACCCTGCTTGACTGGTTAACTGACAAACCTGTATAGCGTTGCCGAGATGTACTCCTTGCTCCTATAGGCACAATGAGTACCTGGATCTAGGCAACGCTACTCGCCGCATGTAGCCGTAGTAAGTAATGTGTATATAATAATGTCTTCTGATAACGGAGATTGCTGTCTTCAGCTGAGGCCATGTTTGATTATATGTTTCTCGATTCGTGCGTCGCTCAGAGAGTTGCTTCCCTTTGCCGTGACAGAATCCTATGATCGTGACGACTTTAAATCTCGGCTCGACCTTATTGTGTTTCTAGGTTGGTCAGCACCATGCCATGATCGTGGATTTCACCAAGTGGTAGACGTCTGAGACCTGCATCGGGGGCACGGGTGGCCCAGTCGTCTAAGGCGCCGCGATTCGCTGTCCAGAGTTGCGTCCCCTGGGCACGCCAGAAACCTATGATTGTTGGTTTGAATCCCGGTTCGCCCCGATTATGTTTCTAGGTTTGTCAGCACCATACCCGTGCTCGTGGGTTTCACCGAAGTGGTAAACGTCTGAGACCTGCATCACTTCGGGCTTTCCTCCCCAGTTAAGAGCTGATATAACAGGAAAACGGTTCAATGCGGAAGTTGAACCACAACCACTCTCTCGCGCGTAACTCGCCGTTACTCTTTGTAGATTCTTACAGTTATTATTGTTATGATAAAGATCACTTGGGAATTCCCAGGCTGATAAGTAAAATGGGGTTTAACGTAGCGTTTATGGTTATTTTGTGTGTGTGTGTGTGTGTGTGTGTGTGTGTGTGTGTGTGTGTGTGTGTGTGTGTGTGTGTGTGTGTGTGTGTTTGTGTGCGTGTGCGTGCGTGTGTGTGTGTGTGTGTAAAAGTCCTATCTTGTAGTTTTAGACCTCGTAGATACGATCCCGCAGTTTAACACTCAGACAGGATACACTTCTCAAACACAGTAGGGGCGGTCGGGTAGCCTAGTGGTTAAAGCGTTCGCTCGTCACGCCGAAGACCCGGGTTCGATTCCCGACATGGGTACAATGTCCCCCGCCGTGATATTGCTGGAATATTGCTAAAAGCGGCGTAAAGCGGCGTAAAATCAAACTCACTCACTCACTCACTCACTCAAACACAGTATATCGACTCCGAGCCGACAGTCCGTGTTTTAGCCCCTTAATGGCGAGCTCAAGACAGGGTAACAACACATACCATATTTTAACGTCTTTTGGTATGACGGGGCTGCTGATCGAACCACCGTACTGCCGCTCTCTGGGCAGACGCTCTATCCACTAGACCACGAAGGCGGTCTACTAAAAAAATATTGGTGGTTGCACTGTTTGATCTGGAGTATTAGGTCATCGTACCCCGAGGCTGAGAGCCGTTGCTCAGTGAACCTGATTGTAATCACTGGTTTATCTGGTCGAGATTCGATTATTAACAGACTGCCGTATTTCAGCTGGAATATGTCTGTCTGTATGTGACGTGAAACATCATTCACGCATTCAGTAATCACAAGCATATTTCTAATGGTGGTTCCAACGTGAAAACCCCCCGATCGTATGTTGCTCTTTATTCCAAAATGGAAATATCATTTTTAGTATGTCTATGACACTGATATTTTTATCGGTTTCTTTATTTTAAAAAAGACTTCACCAAGAGCCGAAAAAAACAGTTAAACCTTAACCTACACGGGTTTATAAAAATCCAAGTGTCGCCCAAGTACAGTAAACTACGGTTATAACGAACTCAAAGGGACTACTAATTTTAGTTCGTTATAACCGTAGTTCGTTATAAGCATATATACATCATAACTACAGCAAATAATCGGGACCCAAAAAGTAAGTTCGTTATATCCGTCAGTTCGCTATAAGCGTGTTCGCTATAACCGTAGTTTACTGTACGACCCTTGGTTTGACAGCACCATACCCTAGTACATCTTGATGCAACTTAAGGGAATATTCATTCTCAATCCCTCATTCACTCTTAAAACGGATCGACCGCCTCCGTGGTCTAGTGGTAGAGCGTCCGCCCGGCGGAGAGCGGAAGGTCCGGGGTTCGATCCCCAGCCGCGTCATACCAAAAGACGTTAAAAAATGGTACTTGTTGTAGCCCTGTCTGGCGCCCGACATTAAGGGGCTAAAACAAGGACTGGTCGGCTCGGAGTCAGTATACTGTGTCTGAGTGGGGTATTCATGTTAAACTGCGGCATGGTATTTCAGTGGGCTAGCACTATAAATCGGCATCAGTCCGGACTAGTACAAGCAGCCACACACACACACACACACGTGCATGCACGTCGTTATATAAGTGCAATAATCTTGGACGCGACGTTAAACCCAATTTCACCTCACCTCACCTTATAAACGGATCAACGGGGTACCAACGCCATACGGCGCTGCCTCTCGTTATGCAGGATACTGCAGCTGACACCATCCCACTGCGATTGACTCTACCCGTCATCGTTTACACGTAATAATACTGAACAAGGTGGCAGGTTAGTCCTGCTGTTAAAGCGATGGCTTGTCACGCTGAAGACCCGTGTTCGAGTCCCTCCATGTAGACTCCGTGTGAAGCATATTTCGTCCCCGAGTAAGTGTGCTGCTTTCGCCCAGCGTCATGTTAAACGAGTAGTGAGCAGATGAAGAGTGAGTGAGTGAGTGTGGTTTTACGCCGCTTTTAGCAATATTCCAGCAATATCACGGCCGGCGACACCAGAAATGGGCTTCACACAATGTACCAATGTCGGGAATCGAACCCGGGTCTTCGGCGTGACGAGCGAACGCTTTAACCACTAGGCTACTCGACCGCCCCGCAGATGAAGAAATGCGCCGCGAGCGGAGGAAAATAGTCTGTCGTGTTAGGTGAAGGCTATATTCCCGGAGCCACAATAGTTCGCCTAATGATGGCAATGCAAATACTATTGGTATTGCAGAAATATTTCTTTTTTGTTTTGCCTTTCGACATCTTGCGATTTGAGTGCAAAACAACCTTGAAACTATTTCAGTGAAATAATGTGAGTGAGTGAGTTGGGTTTAACGCCGCTTTTAACATTATTACAGTTATATCACGGCGTGCCAGCTTAATGTGTGAGGAAAGTCCGAAGTGATGCAAGTCTCAGACGTTTACCACTTCGGTGAAACCCACGAGCACGGGTATGGTGCTGACAAACCTAGAAACATAATCGGGGCGAACCGGGATTCGAACCCACAATCATAGGTTTCTGGCATGCCTAGGAGACGCAACTCTGGACAGCGAATCGCGGCGCCTTAGACGACTGGGCCACCCGTGCCCCCTCAGTGAAATAGAGGCGTGACAACATCACGTTTGAATAACCCGTAATTGGGTGCTTAACCTTATCACTGCGGGCTTTCCTTACCAAATAAGCTCACACGCCGTGATATAACTGGAGTACTGTTCAAAACGACGTTAAACCAAGTTTGTTCACTCTCACTAGCTCATGTGAGACTAGGTTGTTTGTCTGTTTGTTGTTTAACGACGAGCTCAGCAATATCCCAACTATGTGACGGCGGTCTGTAAATAATCGAGTCTGGACTAGACACTCCAGTGATTGACATCATGAGCATCGATCCACGCAATTCAGATACGATGACATGTATCAATCACGTTAGCGAGCCTGACCACCCGATCCCGGGTGGCGCCCCTCACGACAAGCATAGTCGCCCTTTACAGCAATGGGTTGCTGAAGACCTATTCTGCCCCATAACTTCACAGGTAACATGGGACTAGGTAAACCCGAGGCTCGAACCGAAAGGCAGAGATAAGGGAAACAACTCTGCTCAGCAATATGCAGCGACCTTCACCATTGGGTCACAGTGCCGACCAAGGCACAAGAAACGAATGTTGATTGCCATAGCCTTATAACAGTACACAGTGTCTGTTCGGGGTAGCGCGGAGCCAAGCTGTTGTGGACATACACAAACAGGGAGGATGTATTCCATGTGGGCTTCTCTTCTGTCCCTAGTCTGGGTTTGTGAATCAGGTACGTATATATTAGAGTCCTTTCTGTGATGAAGTGAGTGAGTTGGATTTAACACCGCTTGGAACAGTATTTCAGTTCTATCACAGCGTGTCATCATCCCGAAACAATAAATAAATACTTTACAAAATCGACCGTTAATTACATGTGGCAGGATCCGAAACTACACGGATTACAGTGACGTCATGCATTACCACGATTCCGGAATATGCCGAGTTTACCCGAGTGGTCACATTTTAAGGCAAGCAGCGGATAAGCCGGGTCGACGGACAGATATTGTCGACAGCTGTCGATAGCTGTTTGAGCCGAAATTACCAGATTGCAGATTGAGTACATGTCGAAAATGCTTCATCATTTAATGTTTTATGTGAACAACGTTAATACACGGTGACCTAAAGTATCTTAAAGTTTATATTTTGAAGCAGGATGTGATATTATATTCACGGCCGAGCCACATCACCTTCACTTACACGGTCTTCGTCCGCCATGGTTCATTCTCAGCTGTAATACAAGCGACGTCACAGACGTTTACATTATGGAGATTGGACGTCATGCACATGCAGACTATCCAGTGGCATATCTGTCTGCTGTGGAACCCCACGCAGCTCGCGTCCTCGATAAACCAAACAGACATCGCATATCATCTCAAGGTCGAATCGAAGCAACGTCATCACATCTTCAGGTCAACGTCACCGATGTACTCTGTGAAGACGTGACGTCATACTACTGTGTGGTATTCTTTGGTAACTCTTCGCGGAAGAGTATTCAAGAGGATAGAAGGATGGTGTCGGTAAAAGGTTCGTATACATTCGTCACCACTCGCCCCTTTCCGTAACCTGCAAGAAGACTCGTCCCCCTCTCGATGAATGTTATGTGCGAAAATACGACAAACCAATCAGAATGCGCGTATGATTTCGAGTTCTTTGTCAAATAATCCCTCAGAAATAATTTTTGATTTTACATATGTCTTGCACCTAAAAATATACCCAAGACACAGTTAAATGTGTTCAATCATACTTTATAATTCCGCACGTCCCGATGTCCTTTAGATTGCATCAGAAATATATATAATATATGGGGAAATATATGTGAACCATTACGCAACGAGTTGACAATTGTTTTAGGTATGCCCGTTTGCGCTAAGACGGAACCTAGTCGCAAAAATGGCCACGAGACGGGCACGAGTCGCTATTCGGCTTGTCCAGGAATAACACGAGTCGGTCACGAATGCTTCGTATACTGACCAATTGAGTGACGGACACGGCAAAGTAGTGGTGCTTGTGAAAGAGTGAGGATGTCCTGATCCCGCCACTCATCTCACAACGATTGAGACCGCCTCCGTGGTCTAGTGGTAGAGCGTCCACCCGTTGAGCGGAAGGTCCGGGGTTCGATCCCCTGCCGCGTCATACCAAAAGACATTAAAAGATGGTACTTGTTGTTACCCTGTCTGGCGCTCGGCATTAAAGGGCTAAAACAAGGACTGGTCGGCTCGGAGTCAGTATACTGTGTCTGAGTGGGATATTCATGTTAAACTGCGGCATGGTATCTCAGTCAGCTAGCACTATAAATCGGCATCAGTCCGGACTAGTACAAGCAGCCACACCAACACACACACGTACATGCATGTCGCTATATAAGTGCAATAATCTTGGACGCGACGTTAAACCCCATTTCACCTCACCTCACAACGATTGAATATCCGTTTAGAGACAATACAATAAACACTCTTCTGCAAAACAACTGTTCTCTACAAAAACATCAAAAAAATTAAATAGTTTTTTATTCCATTTTCCATTTATTTACAATCTTATGCTAATAAATGAAATTAATTTATTTTTGCCGTTTAATTTTTTCCCAGGATCTGATGTCACGATGGAAATAACACCGTCTACATTCGTCCCGGGCCAGACAACCAACATATCAATAACGTGTATTTTTGAGAAGCTTACATCGGATTTGCATACGTTTGAGTTAGGGCGGAAACACCATGGCGAGAAGTCGCTTATTGCCGCCCTCAACACCACCCATGTTGTGCCCATGGACGGGTCTGTTTCTAAACGGTTAACTTTGATTGGTGAAATTAACAATTCTTCGATGTCGCGGTTAGAAGCAACATTGTCACCGGCCACGTGTAATGACGTCACGGAATATTACTGCACGGCGACGTTCACTTCAGGGGGAAAGGTCAAGGCAACTGAAGACACTTCAGAAGTGACGGGGACATGCTACGGTAGGTAACCCCTGATTCCCCTACATTGTCAAGAAGAAAATCCATGATCTTTTAATAGCGTCTAGACCCGTGAAGATCCGGGGTAAAACTGGTCTTCAGCAACCCATGCTTTCCGAAGAGGCGACTTGTTAATTAATTACAACTCAGTGAATACTGACTGAGTGAATACAGTCTGAGCATTGAATGCATTTCTTATCAGAACGGACCCCTGAAGATCCGGGTAAAAATAGGTCTTCAGAAACCCATGCTGTGAAAGGTGACTCTGTTTGTCTTAGGGGCAGTCGGGTAGCCTAGTGGTTAAAGCCTTCGCTCGTCACGCCGAAGACCCGGGTTCGATTCCCGACATGGGTACAATGTGTGAAGCCCATTTCTGGTGTCCCCCGCCGTGATATTGGTGGAATATTGCTAAAAGCGGCGTAAAACCATACTCACTCACTCACTGCTTGTCGTTAGAGGCTACTAACGAGATCGGATGTTTAGACCCATCGAATCCCAATTGGTCAATTACTGGATTGTCTGGTCCAGACTTGATTATTTACAATCCGCCGTCATATAGCTGGAATATTGCTGAGTGTGGCGTTAAACAACAAAGAAACACGCAATATTAACGTCAAGACGTGTATCACTTCGGGCCTTCCCCGACATCAAGCTGACGCCATTATTTGACTTCCAGAATGTTCAAAGCGTCGTGAAATCCAACTCACTCACCCTTGACTTATGAAAAAAAGTAATCGATAGGGATCGGATAGAGGGTACACGTCATCTCATGCAGGTTGTGGTGTTATAGTTTAAGGGCGACGTGGCGAAGAGAAGGCTCCCACACGTAATCTGAGATGCTTTGCAGAGTAGCCTCCCTTAGCCAAGTGACGGATTCAAATCCAAGATTCAAGATAATATCACCGCTTGTCCTCACATGAAGTGCGAAAAGTGATTTTTTTATAAGATGGCACGTAGGGATGTAAACGAAATACTATTTAGAACCAAGCCTATTCGAAGAAAGTTAATGCATTTATCGTTGATAAAAACGTATGGATTTTTATTAAAGATGAAATCCATTTTGTTTTTTTGAAAATTGTAAGTTTTGTACGTTTATTACCCTCATCGACCACCTCCATGGTCAAGTAGCTAGAGCGTTTGCCCGGAGAGCTGAAGGTCGTGATTTCGATCCTCGGACGCGTCCAAAAGACGTTAAAATATGGCACTTGTTGTTACCCTGCCTGGCGCTCGGCAATAACGGACTAAAACAAGAGTTAGTTGGCTCGGAGTCAGTATACTGTGTCTAAGTGGGGTGTGCATGATACTATCAACTCAGCTTTAGTCCGGATTAATACAAAGCAGACACACACACACACACACGCACGCACGCACACACGCACACACGCACGCACGCACGCACGCACGCTCGCAAGTAAGGACACAGTGCTGATAGACCAAGGTGGATACTCGATCAGACTCAGGCGCGCATGCACGTCTCTATCTAAGTGCAATAATCTTGAATGTGACGTTAAACTCTACTTCACCTCATCTCACCTCACTTCACCAGAAGGGGCGGTCGGGTAGCCAAGTGGTCAAAGCCTACGCTCGTCACGCTGAAGACCCGGGTTCGATTCCCGACATGGGTACAATGTGTGAAGCCCATTTCTGGTGTCCCCCGCCGTGATATTGCTGGACTATCACTAAAAGCGGCGTAAAACCATACTCACTCACTCATCCTACCAGAAACGGGCAGATTGGTGTATATCCATTAAAGCCAACCGATCCCCGATTTGGAAAGGGGACCGAACATTAAATTTTGTTTTAAATTTCCTCAACATGTTCCAGGCATAATCTGAAGGTAACTGTGACACGCCTTTACGTGATAAAGGGAGCGTGTTCCTTAGTTGTCCCAGAGTCTGATCGAGTATCCACCTTGGCTTATCAGTACTGTATCATTACTTGTGGGTATATGTCTAAGACATGAGTCACTGTAGCTTTACCTCATCCATTAATCTGACAGTCCTGATAAAATACATCCAAAAGCAGCAATAAAGCCAACTCACTCACTTTAATGGTTGAGGGTGACGTTTCATCATGATCTCTTGGTTATCCGTTTGCTTGTTTGTTTGCTGTATACCACCGCATTCAGCAATATTTCAGCAATATGATGGCGGTCTGTAAATGATCGAGTCTGGACCAGACAATCCAGTGATTGACATCATCAGCATCGATCGATCTACGCAATTGGGACACGATGCTATGTGTCATCCAAGTCAGCGAGTCTGACCACCCGATCCTTCGCCTTTTACGACAAGCATGGGTTGCTGAAGATCAATTCTAACCTCGATCTTTACGGGTAGTCCAATTTATATTGTAGTCGCCTTTCACGAGTAGCTATGGAGTGCCTGGGGACACATTATGACACAGCATGGATAAATCAGTTACTTAATGGAACCAGGTTCATTTACTTTAAACCAGTTTTATTATTTGCATTCGGACATGGCTGTTTGCACTCAGTTTGTTTACTCCACAGATACAACCACAGCCCGCCTAACGACCAGACATCCACGTAAGTGTCATTGTCATCGATGTCTACAGAGATTGTCTGTAAAATGACACTGTGTAAAGTTGAGTCAAACACAAACATAATCATGGAATCAGACTTTTCAACTTTTTGGCACATCTCATGTCGGAAACTCGTCAAAAGTATATTTCTTAATGTATTTATCTTAATATATTTAACATGTGTTTCTGGTGTGTTGTATCACTTAATCGTTTGAAAACTATTTTGTTTTTAATTTTATTTTATACGAAAGCCTAATTGTGCCACTTTGGTAACGTAATTTCGAGTTTCTCGTTATTTTGAATATTTAATTTATATACGGATATTTCGGGTTTTTCGTGGTATTTTAATCATTTTCACGTTATTTCAATTATTTAATTTATTTTCGAATTTTGCATTTTTTCCCGTTCTTAATTTCGATTATTTTCTCGATTTCTTTCTCTCTTTTATGCAGTTGAAATATGTCCGTTCCTCCGTCCATCGTATACACCTTGTCTCTTGTTTTCCCATACAAAAACAGAATTGTGAAAAAAACGAATCATAAATAAAATTACCAGACAAACTTTAAAAAGTATTTCACTAATGAGAAAGTATTCGAAGTTTCGGAAATAGAAGTAATTATTGAAAATCTAGAAAACTACTCGAAATATCGATTAAAAAAATACAATTATACTACGAAACTGGGACCATGAGGCTTTCCTACTTTTACTACTCAATACATACATGGTTTGTATGTTTCTAGTTTCAACAAACTCTGGAGCCCCGCGGATTAGGCACCCAAGTAAGATATGTGACTACTTTTTTGTTAAAAATATGACATATGAAATTTAATATGAAATTCGGTCGGCGAAGAATCAAAGAAGATTGTATTAGCTAGAACAATTCATCCCAGACGGTGACGTTTTACATTTGTTATCCTAATTAAAAAAACAACAACTAACCGTACCTTCTACATACATATATACAAGTTTAATTCGTATTGAACTTTCGTGGGGGGGGGGGGGGGGGGGGGGGGCTCGTCGTCTAAGGCGCCGCGATTCGCTGTGCAGAGTTGCGTCCCTTGGGCACGCCAGAAACCTATGATTGTGGGTTCGAATCCCGTTTCGCCCCGATTATGTTTCTAGGTTTGTCAGCACCATACCCGTGCTCGTGGGTTTAACCGAAGTGGTAAACGTCTGAGACCTGCATCACTTCGGGCTTTCCTCCCACATTAAGCTGACACGCCGTGATATAACTGTAATACTGTTAAAAGCGGCGTTAAACCCAACTCACTCACTCACTCACTATTGAACTATCTCTTTATGTGGGAGGGGTGGGCACGAGAAAAAGGGAATCGGCTATTGGATGGTTACTGAACGATAAGTTAAACTGCTTCCTTTCATAAGATGTTCCTAATTTTATCATCTGTTTTCGACCCCATGTAAAGCATATGTCATGTGGAGAGTGCGATATTTCTAAGGTGTAGTCTCAGACCAGTGTTCGTTGTTGAAGTAGGTTCCCTCATGTTTAGTTCAGGAGTGAATGTGTTGAATAAAACACCTCCTACGGTTTTTGTCATATTCAAAATCCAAATATGAGGGATTCAACCGATGGGCGTTCCGAAAATGAGGCTTTTTCAAATCTCATAAAAATACCTGAAGGAAGTGTTTTATCTAACTTATAAACTGACAAAAGATCTGACACAGTATTCGTCAACATTCTTATGTTTCAAACATACTTTCCATGAATCGTAGGAAACGGGCGTAAAATATCTTTTCCGGGCGAACATGTACAAAGATCAAGTGACCCGTGAAGATCCGGGCTGGAATAAGTCTTCAGCAACCCATGCTTGCCGTAAAAGGTGACTATTCTTGTCGTAAAAGGCGACTTAAGGGATCGGGGGGTCAGGTTCGCTGACTTGGTTGATGCATGTCATCGATCCCAATTGCATGGATCGATGCTCATGATGTCAATCACTGGATTGTCTGGTCCAGACTCGATTATTTACAGACCGCCGTCATATAGCTGGAATATTGCTGAGTGCGGCGTAAAACAACAAAACAACCAACCAAACAACAAAGATCAAGTTGGACGTGAGATAATTGGCACCGACAATGATCAAAGCAATAAGTCCCAAGCACTGGGCAGATATATAGGTTCCCTGGTCACGGTTTATGGCTGGCTGGTGTCTCCTGATGTCAATGTCTTCTTGTAGTGTTCTTTGTCAGCAGTTGTACAAAAATATACTTAAAAGACCTCTGTAGCCAAGTAGGTCACTCGAAGGACTACAGATACGAAGGTAGCAAGCTCCATCCGCTGAAAGATTCAGAAGACTTTGGTCATTTGACTGAACATCATTCCACACATTTCCTTCTGTAGATTGTGTTCACATGTAAAATAAATAAATCTCCAGCGAGTGACTTTCACACGTTACAATATCCCAGGCATGAATATGAGCTTTAACCAGACTAGAAAATCGGATAACTTCACTGGGGGTTTACAAAGGTCGCTACAGGGTCATATTATCATACATTGGTCTCATGATGCATAGGACGTTTTGTTTGTTTGTTGTTTAACACCGCACTCAGCATTATTTCAGCTATATGACGGCGGTCTGTAAAATAATCGAGTCTGGACCAGAAATCCAGTGATTGACATCATGAGCATCGATCCACGCAATTGGGATCGATGACATGTATCAACCAAGTCAACGTGCCTGACCACCCGATCCCGTTAGTCGCCTTTTTACGACAAGCATAGTCGCCTTTTACGGCAAGCATGGGTTGCTGAAGATCTATTCTACCCCGGAATCTTCATAGGACATCACACCCATAGGTGTTTGTAGGAAAATGATCGCAGATGGTTTGCTTAAAATCGGATATATTTTATATTAATTTTGTTTACCCATTGCGAAGTGCGGCATTGGGTAGAATGACGATTGGTTGAAGAATTTTTAGAATGTTTTTAATGTTTTAGGTTAATCTGAAACAGCTTCTCGCTTTCACTTAGTACATTCTAAGGTCGGGCAACAGGGATGACTACAGACACGGATACATATTCATTCTTTATCGATCGTACGATTGACAGGAGAACAGGTTACTACAAGCTTCAAGGTCGTGTTGAACCCAACTCACTCAGTATTTCTGGTGCCTTTTCTTTCAGGACATTCGTCTGGAGCACCCGCACAAGTAACAGCTATCTCAACCCTGCTGGGTGTGTTGATCCTTGGCCACGGGTTCTGATGCAGTTGTGTGCACATGTACTAGTTTAAGGATGCAGTATGTTGGCATTGAAGCTCGCTGATTCAAATACTAGTATCATTGTTATATCCAGTTATGGATGAGCATTGATCCACGCAATTGTGCTACAATGACTTGCATCAACTAAGTCAGCGAGCCTGACCATCCGATCCCGTGAGTCGCCTCTTACGACAAGCAAAGTCGCCTTTTACGGCAAGCATGGGTTGCTGAAGGCCTATTCTACCCCGGATCCCATCCTTGATAAACATTAGACTATACAGAAACTATATATTATTGTCTTTGTTGTTAGTACAGTGTGCACACTGGGAAATCCATTTCAATGTCTAGGGCCCTAATAGACGAGTTCAGAGAACTCGTAAATATACAACTCAAAAGGAGTTATGGATCAAAGATAAAGATACAAATCTTAGATACCCATCAGCAGTTGTGAATTACATGTATGCGACTGTTTATTTCTTTCGAATTTCAGAAGTGTTAATCAAATTATATTTACAAAAACATAAATACAGTGTTTCTGTAATATATATAAATTATTATGTTATTATTATTTTGTTATATATCACATGTACACCGAGTGAACATTTACCTTATTTCTGTGTGCGTATATAGTTATAGTATAATTTATATCCATATAAATGATGGCGAAATATCATGTAAAGTATCGTATAGCAGTTTTCTGTCGCGTGTACAAGTGGTTGCGGGATAATAGTGCTTCATGCGCACTTAAAATCCCCAGGACTTGTGTGGTCCGGGGTTCGGTGTTGGATATTTGGCCGGGGGGGGGGAATCTAAAGTACTGTCGGAAATGAGGGAAAAATGCTTTTCTGGCTTCATTTAATAAATAAGAGTCATAGGACTATGAAAAGAGCATATAGCAAAATAACGCAAATTGACCTATCTAGCCTGTCCTAACAGACATTGTAATTACCCTTAAAATGTACTTTTACATGTAAAATCATGATAAACTTAGAAGCATTCGTGTTGTCATGAATGTATGAACTGGCCTATAACCTGAGGTGATGACCTCACACCGTCCCGTGCATTCTCCCAGGTGCAAATGTCACCGAGTTGGGGGTGGTTTCAAAATATTGCTGTTATGGTACTTAATTGACATGTGCGTTGATAGGGTAACAATTAAGGATATGTACTGCATTATATTTGCTTGGAAACATGATGGAATAGTTAAGAGCTATGAAACGGGATGAGTATTGGAAAGTTGCGGTTTTGGAATCAAGAAGTATTTGTTGTTCTACAGATGGTTTCTTGAGGGAGCATTTATAAATGTCCGCTGATAAAGTATATGAACCTGTACTTTTGGATGTTGTGTTATGTCTTGCCATGAATCCTTTACACTTAGCCAAGATGGGCACAACGGGGTTAAGCTCACAATGTCTGACTGACAGACGTAAGACAACGTGACCGTGTTGTGCCGCCAGCACATATGCCCCGTACGTAACTGGATTCTTATTTAGCCGAATTTCATCCTATCTCTTGGAGAGCAATAGTTACTGCAGTATGGGAAACATTAATTGTATCTTTAATTTTCTTCCACATTCTACTAAAAGTCAGGGTATTTTCTGCTCACAATGCTTGTACACTATACGCCTAATCCCCCTGTAACAAAGATGTCTAATATCCTTTACTTACCAGTTTTGTTTTTGAGACCAGCTCTATAGTTTTGTTTTATTTTTCATTCCGTAGACTTGATAGTATGAATTGAAAACCCCATAGCTTGGGCTAAATTAATAAATGGTTTCCCTTTATCTCTCTAAAGTGGAAAGAACTTGTATATATTTCCCAGTACAAACTCCATGTCGTGTACCATGGCTATGGCTATGCAAGTGTAATGTAACATGCATCATGGGAGCAATGTTAACACAACAAACGCAGCGACATTTTGTCATTTTAGAAGATGCACAAATAGACTTTTCTCCAAATGATTTTTGAGTGTGGATTAGATGTTTTATGAAGACTACATTATTGTCATTATAACGGCGTCACGTGCGCATATTTTTGTAGTCCGTTTCAGACTGCCATCATTGGACTTAGAATAAATGTAAACTTACTGTTTCCGTTCGAATCTATCTCCTATAAAATTGTCGATAGGACTCCTTGTGACTGAAATACTTCAAACCACAGGTAGGTCGATCGGCAAATACTCGATATTTCAATAACAATAGTCTGTGAAAAATTACATCCCTTTTTAACAGGCAAAAAGCATTTTTCTAGGATTTCCGACAGTACCTTAGGAAGGGTGTGGATCCCCTTTTGTCAGACACCTAACATATTAACTGCGTGACTTGGGTATCATGTGCACCCCTTAAATAATTTGATTCAGTGTGAACTTTGTTTGTATGTTGTTTAACGCCGCACTCAGCAATATTCCCAGCTATATGACGGCAGTCTGTAAATAATCGAGACTGGAGTGATTGACATCATGCGCATCAATCCTGGGTGAACAGAGGCCCATTAAAAAAAAAATAATGAAACAAATCTCACTTGCCTAAGGAGACACTACACATGCTACATGTACTACACGACCCCTAAAGATCTTGGTAGGGAAAAGGTCTTCAGCAACCTATGATTGTCGTAAGAGGCGACTAACGGGATCGGGTGGTCAGGCTCGCTGACTTGGTTGATGCATGTCATTGATCCCCAAATTGCGTGGATCGATGCTCATGATGTCATTCACTTGATTGTCTGGTTCAGGTTCGATTATTCACAGACTGCCGTCATATAGCTGGAATATTGCTGAGTGCGGAGATAAACAACAAACAATACCATAGTATTATTACAATATTATAACAATTAAGGTTGGCTTTTTGTGTTTTATTGTTGGATGTTTCATCTTTCATTCTTTCTATCTATCTTACTATCTATCATTCTTTCTGCCTACAACGCTGTAGGGGTTGATAAAGTCTCGTATCCCCCAAGAAGTAGAAGGTTTCTTAATCAGGCAGGATAATAAAAAAAAATAACTTTGTGAAAACAAGCATATATCCTAACAAATATTTGCTCACTTGAAAAGTCAATACAAGTTCAGCTTCCCGATGTATATAAACATGTTATCTGACAGATTTTACACATTCATGAAGTTGTTAAATACCCTTTAATTATACTTGGTGCAAGACCTCTGTAGTCATATCACTTGTTCTGTTTGTCATAATCACCCCCGTTCTTTACAACTCTGGCTTTCACTACCTGCCCAACATTTAATGTTACAATATTTTCACTTCTCTTCAACCTTCTGTTAAAAATCCGTGTTTCTATCAAACAACCTTTCTACCCTCCCCGACCCCTATTATCGCCTTCTCGTAACATATGGTAACACGGGCTCTCATTGTGTCTCGCCATTGTTCTCGCAACAGACGAGAACTCTCAAGAGCGCCGCCATTGTTGTACTCATTGTACACGTGAGTGACGAGATTTCCTGAGACCCGCGTGATCTACATAAAAGGTCCATTAAAGGGAGCTAATAAGGAATTATGATAGGGTTATTCCGCCGGTCCAAGTCAAGCGGTGGTATGAAAGGGCATGTTGAGTCTCCTTATACACGGAAGCACAATCGGGAGGTTGTGCTGGGCGGAGGGATTGCATTAGTCGCAGTAATTGTAGAAATTCCCCATCTGTGACGGCAGGCAACGCCGTCTGGTAACCAGTTTAAAGAGTTGTGTTTGTGTACGGACACACGTCGAGTGCTTTGAACTATGCGGCGCGACTCCTTCTACAGTACAAAAATGCTATTTCTGTCCTATTTGTTTAGTAAAATGATATAATTTTAAGCGAGCGTTACTTTCTATTCAGTCATTTGAATATAAAAATGAAACGTTAACAGTACAAAATGCTATTTGTGTCCTTTTTGTTTAGTTAAATGATATAATTGTAAGCGAGCGTTACTTTCTATTCAGTCATTTAAATATAAAAATGAAACGTCAACAGTACAAAATGCTATTTGTGTCCTTTTTGTTTAGTAAAATGATATAATTTTAAGCGAGCGTTACTTTCTATTCAGTCATTTGAATATAAAAATGAAACGTTAACAGTACAAAATGCTATTTCTGTCCTTTTTGTTTAGTTAAATGATATAATTGTAAGCGAGCGTTACTTTCTATTCAGTCATTTGAATATAAAAATGAAACGTTAACAGTACAAAATGCTATTTCTGTCCTTTTTGTTTAGTTAAATGATATAATTGTAAGCGAGCGTTACTTTCTATTCAGTCATTTAAATATAAAAATGAAACGTCTACAGTACAAAATGCTATTTCTTTCCTATTTGTTTAATCAAATGATATAATTTTAAGCGAGCGTTACTTTCTATTCAGTCATTTAAATATAAAAATGAAACGTCTACAGTACAAAATGCTATTTCTGTCCTATTTGTTTAATCAAATGATATAATTTTAAGCGAGCGTTACTTTCTATTCAGTCATTTAAATATAAAAATGAAACGTCTACAGTACAAAATGCTATTTCTGTCCTATTTGTTTAATCAAATGATATAATTTTAAGCGAGCGTTACTTTCTATTCAGTCATTTAACTATAAAAATGAAACGTCAACAGTACAAAATGCTATTTCTGTCCTATTTGTTTAGTTAAATGATATAATTTTAAGCGAGCGTTACTTTCTATTCAATCATTTAAATATAAAAATGAAACGCCAACGGCAGAAAATAATCTGTCTCGATTATGTGTCGAAATATGCAACTGATAGTTTTTGATGTATTGTGCTTTCCCCAAGTTAAACGTATTCTTTGGGATAAATCACAGAACAGGACGCTCGTTTTTTTTGACAAACAAAATCTATGCTAAATATTAATTGGTAATTTTCAACATCGAATGAATAAATTCATTTTCACCATTTGAAAGCGGGTTGTTTATGTTGAAAACAAAATACCCCTATCGATACAATCTTGTCATTGATTTGCCATCAGGTGAAACCATGTTAACATCTGTGTGGAGACAATATATAAATTGTAACATCTGAAACAAATTGTCGTCCCCTAAAAGATTAATTTTACTCTGTATTAATATTTGGAAACAGAAATTCTGTGTAAAAAAACATTTTTAGTCGTCATTAGAGTAAATGGACGTCGTCGGACAATCATGGTGGTGAGGTTAAATGGGGTTTGGCGTTGCGATGGAGATGCAAGTGTGTGTGTGTGTGTGTGTGTGTGTGTGTGTGTGTGTGTGTGTGTGTTTCTTTATGTGTGTGGTAAGTGCCAGGCAAGGTAACAACAAGGACCATAAGGTGACTATGCTTGTCGTAAGAGGCGACTAACGGGATCGGGTGGTCAGGCTCGCTGACTTGGTTTATACATGTCATCGGTCCCAATTGCGTGGATCGATGCTCATGATATTAATCACTGGATTGTCTGGTCCAGACTCGATTATTCACAGACCGCCGTCATATAGCTTGAATATTGCCGAATGCTGCGTTAAACAACAAACAAACCAACAAACAAACCAACATAATCTGCCTGCTATGCAATTCTACTCCAATTTAGTTTTGTTTTTCTTTCTGGAAATGAATCAACACTTTCCCAATTTGCTATTTATGGGTGAGTGTGTGTACGTGTGTACATGACGACCTCACATATGAGTTATATCAAGAAGTCAGCGCATCTATCAATATCTTCATATGTCATCAGATATTGACAAGTTCTCACAAATCTTTACCGATAATCAACAAATGTGAAAATACCCATTTTAACATTCTCAAGAGACGCAGGTATCTCTCTACTATATCACCCTTTTTTTATTTATTTACTTATTTTTTTATGTATTGTATTGTTGTAGTGTTTATTTCTTTAACGCCGCACTCAGCATTATTCCAGCTATATTACGGCGGTCTATAAATAATCGAATCTGGACCAGACAATCCAGATTGATATCATGATCCACCCAATTGGGATACGATGACATACATCAACCAGGTCAGCGAGCCAGACCACCCGATCCCGTTAGTCGCCTCTTACAACAAGCACAGTCGCCTTTTACGCCAAGCATGGGTTGCTGAAGACCTATTCTACTCCGAATCTTCATGGATGGAATTATTTTGAATATCCCAGGGTAAAGTGGAGCCCTTTATCTCTTCGCGAAGCATGTTAGAATAAATTTTGAAGATCGTTAAAAATATACACGCATTCACATGATGTCATAAATATGAAAGTCAGCCATGTTAATTTCCCATTGTCCCATATCATGAATGGCGGTGAGTGAGTTGGCTTTAACGCCTCTGTGAACAGTATTCTAGTTGACATGACTCGTGTCAGCTTGATGTGGGAGGAAAGCCCGAAGTGATGCAAGGTTTTAGACGTTTACCTCTTTGTTAAAACCCACGACCACGGGGGTATGGTCTAAACCTAGACACATAATCAAGGCAAACCGGGGTTCGAACCCATGATTATATGTTTTTGGTGTGCAAATTGTGGCGCCTGAGACGACTGAGCCATCAGTGTCCAAAGACACTCAAACAAAACATATATTAAAAGAATCTAAACACGTATAAAAAATATATATTGATTCCTAATTCGGTTTTGTATGGAGACTAGAAACTGTTTCAACTGCATCTGCAAAACAGATATTATTTTTCCAAAATAAAACTATGAGACCCAATATCCTTTTCAAAAAAACTCCTTGCAAGAATGTTTTTATTCTAGCAGGGGAAGTGAGTGAGTTAAAATTTAACGTCGCATCGGCATTATTTCAGCAATTTAGCCATTTTTTAATCTATTTTTCTTCCATCATTCTGAAGCATATTTTTTTGCAAGCACTTCCTGGGACAATTTATTTTCGATGAAATCCATGCCAAATATACACAGTATGGTGTGGTCAGTTCTTGACTACTGTGTGACTATTTGGTTTAATTATGATGTATCAGCAATAAATGGTGTACATCATAAGATCCGGGTTAGAATAGGTCTTCAGCAACCCATGCTTGCCGTAAAAGGCGATCGGGTGGTCAGACTCGCTGACTTGGTTGATGCATGTCATCGATCCCAATTGCGTGGATCGATGCTCATGATATCAATCACTGGATTGTCTGGTCCAGACTCGATTATTTACAGACCGCCGTCATATAGCTGGAATATTGCTGAGCGCGGCGTTAACCAACCAACCAACCAACAAACAAACAAACAAAACATACAAGTGATAACTGTCCCGACGCTGAATCTTCTCCCCATCCTAAATTATGTTGCTTGTTGGGGCGGTCGGGTAGCCTAGTGGTTAAATCGTTCGCTCGTCACGCCGAAGACCCGGGTTCGATTCCCGACATGGGTACAATGTGTGAAGCCCATTTCTGGTGTCCCCCGCCGTGATATTGCTGGAATATTGCTAAAAGCGGCGTAAAACAATACTCACTCACTGTTAATTCAAATTTAAATTTCATTTCAACTTTCATGTCATTTGTAAAGTAAGAATGTAAGGGGAAGTTGGGTCCTTTTCCGTTAGTCTGCAATCTTGAACCAAACTGATTCATCTGGTAAATAGTAAGTTAATCGTAAACCTTTACCCAATTCAATAGAATGGCATTCCCAATTGCAAGACATTCACACAAATTTCAGTGTTACTTTAATTGGGGACCCGTGAAGATCCGGGGTAGAATAGGCCTTCAGCAACCAATGCCTGCCGAAAAAGGGGACTATGCTTGTCGTAGAAAGGCAACTAACGGGATCGGGGGGTCAGGCTCGCTGACTTGGTTGATGCATGTCATCGTATCCCAATTATGTGGATCGATGCTAATGATATCAATCACTGGATTGTCTGATCCAGACTCGAATATTTACAGACCGCCGTCATATAGCTGAAATATTGCTGAGTGCGGCGTTAAACAACAAACCAACCAACCAACTTTAATTGGGGTTCTTGTAATAGGCGCTTGCACACCGGTGGCAGCGATGATACAGGGAAGGTAACGAAGAGAGGTAGGAGCTTGGCACCTGCTCGTCTCCTTCAGATCCGATGCCAGGAGTTTGCTTAAGTTTTTTGATCAATAGACCAATGAGGGGCAAGGGATACTAAACCAAACTAATCATGTTGGTAGATAGGGATGGTTGGTTGTTGTTTTACGACGCACACAGCAATATTCCAGCTATATGACGGCGGTCTGTAAGCATGGGTTGCTGAAGACCTGTTCAACCCCGAATCTTCACCATTGGGACTCTTATTATTGTAGACAGGTCATTTATTAACAAACAGTGACACATATTTTAAGAGGCCTCATATTGGTTTCCGGGTGATGATTTCCGAAAATATTTCTGGTTTTGTTATTGTCTTTGTACAGTATGGCATCTCAGCTGACTTCGGTTTTCTTGGTTGTGAATTTCACAGTGTTCATGTAAGGTGAGAAGCAAAAGAAACTATTCCCCTCAGTTGATTTTATAATGTGTTTGATTGTCCCTTGAAAATATCTTAAGCTATATCATATAAAAATGAACATTACTGACGCTGAGTCAACACTAAATGAATACTAAGTCAGCGAGCCTGACCACCCGATCCTGTTAGTCGCCCCTTAGGACAAACATAGTCGCTTTTTACGACAGCAAGCATCGGTTGCTGAAGACCTATAATTATAATAAATTATATTCAAAAATAAAACCAGGTAGAAGTATTTATTGAATTTAGTGCGTCGTTAAATAACAAACCAACCAACCAACCAACCATTAGAAATTTTCAGATATCCAGTATTCTGCTGGACAGGTTTGCTTATTGCGATCTATATGTAGCAGATAACAAGTAGCCTGTCTTAACTGTATGCTTCTGGTTTTAAGGGATAATTCTCATTTTCACCTCCCTCATACCCTTATAAGGTTATTACCGAAATAGTGTACTACCAAAGGGGACGTTAAGATCCATTCAACATTACTTGATATAGGTCCGACCGCCTCAGTGATCAGATTTATATTGGACATCGGACCTTTGACCTGTTCCAAGCCCAGTGGATGCGACCCTGCACATCACAGTATTACCAAATGGTGACACAGATGACGATGTACAGCCTCCGTGGATGGGGCGTCTGCCCAGAGAGCGGAAGCTCGGTGGCTCCATCCCCGGCCGCTTCATACCAAAATACGTTTAACATGGTTCTTCTTGTTTTCCTGTCTGTCTTGATTAGTACAAGCAGATAAACACAAACACACACACACATACACACACATGCATGCACGCACGCACGCGCGCACAGAGAGACTCTCTCTCTCTCTCTCTCTCTCTCTCTCTCACACACACACACACACACACACACGCACACACACACCTGATCTAGCTACAGTCCAAACCCGTTCACCAAAACAGTTATACAGCAATTGAAGGACAAAACACATTTTTGCAGCATTTCAATTATTTTATTTCACTCATGCTCATTTAAAATACGCAATATGTACATCCCGGTCTCAATCGACAGGGGATCACAACAGTTACTCTGTAACGTCCCCATCAACGAAACACTCATTGTATCAAATTGTTGAACGAGGCCAAACGCGCATGCGACTGTAAATGCATGTATTCATTCATTTGTCGAATGGTTCTAACGGGTTCGCCTTGGGAAATATATACCACCCCACCTTTGATAAGGGTAATCAGATATGTCATTCTATTCAATTACAGTAAACTACGGTTATAACGAACACGCTTATAACGAACTTACGGATATAACGAACTTACTTTTTGGGTCCCGACAATTTGCTGTAGTTATGCTGTATATATGCTTATAACGAACTACGGTTATAACAAACTAAAATAAGTAGTCCCTTTGAGTTCGTTATATCCGTACTTTACTGTATACCTATGATGAGAATCTTGTGTGTGTACAGTGGAAAGATGAAAAATATCCTTATCAAAAGTGGGGTTGAGTATTAAAGATTATACGCAACACCTTGAAAAAAATATATATACAGTACATTTCGTTCCCGCAACATCAAGCACAACGTTATGGACGATAATAATCATAATCATAGCTTGACATTGATGTCGCAGATGTTATGACTAGGAGTATCTTCCCGAGGAAAGAGCGTCCACTTGCCTTTTTATCAAAGTATTGTTTCGACCACTGCCACATCGAGCCCACTTTACTGTGCTAAATATGATTAGAGTATCGAACATATCGATATTCCAATCAGAGAACGTTTCATAAAATGCAAAATCTACGACTGGTACACTTTCGTATCAAAGTGATATACTGCTGCCTGTCTTTATTAACACGAATTTGTTTTTTTCATCTTTGAGCCCCAAACGATTTCCTATGTTTTTGTGTCAGAGATGAAATCGCGAATGTTTTCGTAATGTGATCGACTTGGTCGTCGCCTATGGTAGTCGCCATCTTTGGAAAGCTATACGAGATAAGAACAGCGATCTGATTGGATAGTTCATTACAAGGGGCACAACTCGTGATCTACGCGAGGGTGGAGCCAAGATTGTGGCCTTGATGTGGCAAAGGTAGAAACAAAGCTTTGATATAGGATAGTGGACACACTTGTTGTCCATTTCACTTTCAAATCCGTTCAACAAAATACACTGTGCAAGCTATAAATGTGTTCCTTGTGTTTATGTGTCTTGTGTTCGAGATATGCGAATAACTTAATCATTTAAGCATTCAGATTGAGCGAGTTTGGTTTAAAGACGCTTTGAAACGTGTTTAAATTATGCCATGGAATGTCAGTTTGACGTGGGAGGCGAGCCCGAAGTGGCGTAGGTCTAAAGATAGTTACCACTTTGGCGAAACCCTCGAAAAAGAATATGGTGATGAGAAAGCTAGAAATATAATGTGGGCGAACCGGGATTCGAAGATCATAGGTTTCCGGCGCCCATAAGGGACGCAACACCACACGGCGATTTGCGGTGCAATGTTTAGAAAGTAATTCAGGCAGTAATAAATACTGTACAATGTCACCTTGTCGGTTCACAACATGTTCATCATATCACATACAAATATAATTCTAGTTCTTCATTTGTTTTCTCAGTACAGTTCAATATAATTTTGATGTTCACAAGAGAGGTGTTGCCATTTTCCGTGTGGGTACCAAGAGGATTCGGAAACTATGCCGATCCTCCTTTTCATCTTTGCAAAGGTCACTCACTATCTAGGTCAAATCAAGGTCACACTTAGGTAAGGTCAAGGACGTGATTGAGGTATGAGATATAGCAGATCGCAAGACGTAGGATTTCAATCTTCGACAGTTTCTTGTCTGGTGGAAGCGTGGGTAACAACTTCCGCAGCTCAGCAAAAGCAACGTTGAAGGCCTCAACACGAATTCTCTCCCTTGTTGCATGCGCAGTGCGGTACTTCACTGTAGCTCGGCGACGGCGTCTCCTCTCTTCTCTACTGAGTTGTGCATTTTCTTGATTTCCACCTCGATGGCCTCTCGAGGACAAAGGTAAACTGTCTTTGCAGTCGTCGTCTGAATCTCTAACATCACTCTCAGAGTTCAAACCATTTTCTATGCTTGTAAAAGTCATTTTGTCTGACGTCACTTCCGTATGCATTTTCCCAACTTCCGGTTCGTCTACGGGGAGTCTGAAAGAACAAATTTAGCCAATATGAAACAAGGCTGACAAATAGGCTTAAAATAAAAATACCGAGCACATGATATGGGGGGGGGGGGGGGGGGGTGCGCTGGAGGATGCTGGATATCCCGACGTAATGTGTTGTAAAAGAAAACTGTACAGCTTCTTGCAGAGAAAAAAAACTGTCTCTTGTTGAGTACCAGAAATCAAGAATCTTTGAGTGTGAGTGTATATATGTGTGTTCTTGTATGTGTTTCTGTTTAAATGTTCGTACAAAGTCTCAAGATCCGGGGTAGAATAGGTCTTCAGCAACCCATGCCTGCCATATAAGGCGACTATGCGTGTCGTAAAAGGCGACCAACGGGACCGGGTGGTCGGGGCTCGCTCACTTGGTTGATGCATGTCTTCGATCCAAATTACGTGGATCGATGCTCATGATGTCAATCACTGGATTGTCTGGTCCAGACTCGATTATTTTACAGACCGTCGTCATATAGCTGAAATATTCCTGAGTGTGGTGTTAAACAACAACAAACACAAAGTTTCAAACAAAGCGTTTAAATGTCGCCAAATATGTGTAGGGTATAACCGACATCTTGTTACATAATAATTATTATCATGTTAAGAAACTTTTCTCCAGTTCCACCGTTGGTGGTTCTTTTTGAAAAATAAATGATTGATTGAAAAAACCTCCCAGACACCAATGGCAAATATCGGTCTCAAATCGCACGATTTATGAACGGGAAATCTAAGAACCTTTCTGTCTCTGCTCTAAGGAGACTGGAACGACGGGACTTTCTAATTCATTATCATGCATAACGAACGGGGGACAGTATCATAATGTCACCATCTCAGCATCAGTTTCTTTTGTCTTTGTGATGGCATCTGGCGAGAATCCTTGGAGACGCGTAATCGTTTATTGTCACGTGACAGGTTTCGCTAGAACGGTCCACTCCTTTGACAAAATTAGTCACGTGATTGGCTTATCAAAATTTGGGACTAGTTTTGCGTCCACGGGATGAATTAACCCCAAAATCGATTCTGACTAACAAGAAATGCAAGATTCGATTTAGGAACGAGAAATGGACAATGGAATCTTGGCAACGAGGTGCCATCTGTCCCCTGAATATCGCAGACAAGTCGCAAGTTAGCTACAGTTATTCCTGACCGACCATGCCCCAAGATACCACTGCAGGCATCCACAATGCGACGTGACGAAGTAAAACAGCTACGAGAAAATAGCAAAAAGTATTTAATGTCAAGCAAATCTTATGTTTGTTTTGAATCAAATTTATTTCGGTCGACTCATTAAATAAGCATTGTTTTATCAACCAAAATTGGTATTACTTTTAAACAGGTTTTAATTTCAAATTTCATTAATTAATCCGTTATAATTATCTTTATTTACGAATTGTCGCTATCGTTCTCTAGGTATGTTATTCCTATGATACATCGCAAACAGCAGCCCATCTGCATCTTCATGAGTGAGTGAGTGATTTGGGTTTATCGCCGCTTTTAACAGTATTCCAGTTATATCACGGCGTGTCAGCTTAATGTGGGAGGAAAGCCCGAAGTGATGCAGGTCTTAGACGTTTACCACGTCGGTGAAACCCACGAGCACGGGTATGGTGCTGACAAACCTAGAAACATAATTGGGGAGAACCGGGATTCGAACCCACGATCATAGGTTTCTGGCGTGCCCAAGGGACGCAATTCTGCACAGCGAATCGCGGCGCCTGAGACGACAGGGCTACCCCTGCCCCCTCATCTTCACGAAGATACCATTATGGTCGTGCTTATAAGTCTAGAGTGTGAAACACCCAACGTCCATGCGATGAATTGTAATTAGAGATTACATTCTTTGAACATTTATTTTAAATTGAATCCTATGCAGTAAGGGATAAAGGCAGAAGAAGTCTGGCTTTTGGAAAACCCACGTTTACTAATTTCACAGATATGCCTGAAATACCAATTACGAAAATGTGAGTCGCTGTGTTACCATCAAAAGAACGAGCCCCCTTATAGATATTGACAAGAACGCTGATGCCATCAAGCTCATGTTGAATACGATATTTTCATGTGACCCACTGATCGCAAACAATATTGTGTTCTTCTTTTAAAACTTCAGAAAGGAAAATCCTTTCATCTTGGATTCTTTGGCTTGAACGGATTTCCGATTTGTAATCTGATCAACAAGAAGAGCAAAAACTTCCATTGCTATCCTTCACGAATACCGGGAAGTGTGTTGTTTGCTATTCTGTACAGACAACGAGAAGGATGAGTCTAAAGAGTGAGTGAGTTTGGATGAACAGTATTTCAGTCATACCACAGCGTGTCAGCTTGATGTGATGGGGAGACGTGATTCGGGTGTTAGATGTTTACCAAGAAAGTCTTTGGTGAAACCCACTTGTACATTATTGTTCGGATAAATGAAGAAAACCTGTCAGGAATAATTTGGAATTCGAACCCAGGATTAAATGTTCCTGGCACGAATTTCGGCTCCTGAGACGACTTGGATGCCGGTGTCCTAAATGAGTCTGAGAACCCGAATGCACATTTCACATCACATGCATCTGGGTAATTGTAATCTGGTGTGGCTTTCGGAGAATAGTAAGACATAACCAGGTGTTAAGAACAGTGAGTGAGTGAGTTGGGTTTAACGCCGCTTTCAACAGTATTCCTGTTATATCACGGCGTGTCAGCTTAATGTGGGAGGAAAGCCCGAAGTGATGCAGGTCCCAGACGTTTACCACTTCGGTGAAACCCACAGGTATGGTGCTAACAAACCTAGAAACATAATCCGGGCGAACAATCATAGGCTTCTGGCTTGACCAAGGGACGCAACTATGCACAGCGAATCGCAGCGCCTTAAACGACTGGGCCACCCGTGCTTCCGAGTTAAGAACAGGCTTGGTGAAATAGGACGTGAACATTTCCATACTATACAAATCACAGCACTACAGCCAACAATGAGCGAGTGTATCTGTGACTGGGGTTTTATACCGCTGATGGTAGGTGCAGCACTGGCCACAGTAATAATGAGCTTCACACGTTATACCCATGTGGGAATCGAACCCGGGTCAACAGGCCAACGAGTGTGTATTTAACCACCAAACTGTCCACAGCACCGTCATGGTTGGTTGGTTGGTTTGTTGTTTAACGCCGCACTCAGCAATATTCCAGCTATATGACAGCGGTCTGTAAATAATCGAGTCTGGACAAGACAATCCAGTGATTGATATCATGAGCATAATTGGGATCGATGACATGCATCAACCAAGACAGCGAGCCTCACCACCCGATCCCGTGAGTCGCCTTTTACGACAAGCATAGTCGCCTTTTACGGCAAGCATGGGTTGCTGAGGACCTATTCTACCCCGGAATCTTCACGGGTCGCCCCGTCATGGCTATAGATGTAATTGTGTAATGCTAAGTGCGACGTAAAACAAGAAACAAAAAAAACAAAACAAACAAACTTTGTTTAAACATGTCTCGCAAAAACAAACAATTAATTGAATTAAAATCATAAAGTGTCCTGTGAATTTGCTACGCAAAGCCTTCACTCACACCGTTTGTGAAATGGATGCTCAGATGGCTTCACAGAAGTATTGAGTTCGATTGTCACTCATTTTCATGTCAAATATATGATACTGAAGTTTCGTTTGAACAGAAAATGCATCGTGTCACCATGTCGGGGTATTAGACGAATGATATACAAGAATGTTATCTGGATGAACAATACACTTTTCGCCCATACAGACTATTCTGATATTTGGTTGTCAGTTAACTGAAGTTCTAAACTCTGGGAACATCATGGTTGGTTGGTTGTTGTTTTACGCCACACTCAGCAATATTCCAGCTATATGACGGCGGTCTGTAAATAATCGAGTCTGGACCAGAAAATCCAGTGATTGATATCATGAGCATCGATCCACGCAATTGGGATCGATGACATGCTTCAGCCAAGTCAGCGAGCCTGACCACCCGATCCCGTTAGTCGCCTCTTACGACAAGCATAGACGCCTTTTACGGCAAGAATGGGTTGCTGAAGACCTATTCTACCCCGGATCGTCACGGGTCGGGGAACCTCATGAACAAGTCTCCCGCTATCGTAAAACCCGTATTGATTTAAAGATCATACATGTCTTAAATTAGATTTAGAACAATAAAGGACGAAAAATCGAAGTGTAAAACAATATCATAAAAATACGTTGCTGAGGGGACTACACACTGGATTGTATGTGGATGTCTTCTACGCTCACTTAGTATTTGTTTCCCATCTCCTACAGAAATAACATAAATTGAGCTGAAAGTTTGAGAGATTAGCCTGTCAACTGCCTCTACCCCTGGGACATCCAAGCTGCTAATTAAAGGACACGACTTTCTCTCATATTGGTTTTGGCAACTTCCGGTTCTTAGGCAACTCTCAATTACGCATGTCATCGAAACACTTCCGCCTCAAATTGTAAAGGTAACGCGAACTAATCAGATTATCACCGTCTCGAGGGGGTCGCGTTATTTGACAATTTTCTTCTGTTGTCAGCGGGGACAAAATTGACTTTTTTCATTTTCTGTGGTCCTTGTCAACATGTTCTGAGACCGGTTTTTGTTTCTGCTTGGATAGTTCCGCATTCCTGAGAAGTCCTGGGCATCGTTCTTGAAAGACTCATCGCTAGATGAAGTCTGACACCTTTCAATTGCGATTAGAAGATCTGCTTATGCTGGTTTGGTGAAACCATTGACAAGACTTCTTCAGACTACGTCTAAGGGTATTTTGCATTGTTCTGAAGTGGACTGTACGTGTTATCGTGTTTGACCAGTGTCCATCAACATAGGTTTGATTGCTTTCCTCAAATATTGGTTTTGTGACACGTTATCATCAACAACGCAATGCCTGTCGTTGTGCCATAGAGGGAGTTATAGGAGTATCCTTCTAGCCACGGAGTGTCCTTGCCACGAATTGTGCATATGCTGCAAGCCGCGCAAGTTAATATATATTCTAACGAAACG